TCTTGAGGAAAGGTTGGTCATCAAACTGGAAGAAGCTGAACAAACATGAGCAAGAAAGGATCCAAGTCAAAGTCAAAATGGCAGAAACAAGGAAAGATATCTTAAACACTTTTTAAAAAAATATTTTTATTTATTTATTTGAAAGTCAGAGTTACAGAGAGAGGGGAAAAAGAGAGAGACCTGCCACCCTCTGAGTCACTCTCCAGATGGCCACAACAGCCAGGGCTGGGCCAGGCCAGGCTGAAGCCAGGAGCCAGAAGTTTCATCTCCCATGTGGGTGGCAGGGGCCCAAACTCTTGCACCATCTTCTGCTGCTTTTCCCAGGCCTTAATCAGGGAGCTGGATTGTTAGTGGAGCAGCTGGGACATGAGCCGGTGCCCATATGGGATGTTGGCATTACAGGCAGTCGCTTTAACTGCTGTACCACAATGCTGGCCCCTGTTACACTCTTTAAATGAGTTAAAAATCTCTGAACAAGACCAAAGGTACTCCAGGGGACTTTAGATTCACTTGCAAAAGTAACAGAGCCACTGCCAAAAATCAAGGGAAACAGCAGAAGATGGAAGAGACCACATGCTCCTGTTTTCACTAGGGAAGAGACATGGGCAGTGGCTTATGCAAACTAGAGGCAAGCACATTGTTCCCAAAAACCTCACACAAAGCCCTCAGAGTCTCTAGTTAAAGGGATGTTGGGGGGCTGGCGCTGTGGCTCACTTGGTTAATCCTCCGCCTGTGGTGCCGGCATCCCATATGGGCGCCAGGTTCTAGTCCCAGTTGCTCCTCTTCCAGTCCAGCTCTCTGCTGTGGCCCGGGAGGGCAGTGGAGGATGGCCCAAGTGCTTGGGCCCCTGCACCTACATGGGAGACCAGGAGGAGGCACCTGGCTCCTGGCTTCGGATCGGCGCAGCACCAGCCATAGCAGCCATTTGGGGAGTAAACCAACGGAAGGAAGACCTTTCTCTCTGTCTCTCTCTCTTTCTCTCATCAGTCTATGACTCTACCTGTCAAACAAAAAAAAGGGGGGGAGGGTGTTGGTAAACATATAGAAAAAACATCAAGGACATTGGGAATCAACATAAATAGGTGTAAGAGAATCACATGTATGGAGCTGACATTGTGGGGCAGCAGGTTAAGCTGCTGCCTGCGATACTGGCATCCCCTATGGGTGCTGGTTAGAGTCCCAGCTGCTCTGCTTCTGATCCAGTTCCCTACTAATGCTCCCAGAAAAGCAGAAGATGGCCCAAGACCTTGGGCCCATGCACCCCTGTGGGAGACCTGGATGAAGTTCCAGGATCCTGGCTCAGCCATGGCAGTTGCAGCCATTTGGGGAGTGAGCCAGTGGATGGAAGAGATCTGTCTGTCCTTCTCTCTCTGTAACTCCACCTTTCAAATAAATAAATAAGTCTGAGAGAGAGAGAGAGAGATTGAAAGAAAGGAAGGGAAGGAGGAAGGGAGGGAGGGGCAAATCCCAATCCTTGACTGAGTAGTTGGGGTAGCAGTTGAAAGAATTATCAGTCTGAAAAATAGTTCATTCCTTCTTTATAACTCAGTCCTGGTGAGATTTTCACTAGAACCATAGAGCCTCAAAGGTAATCAGAACTCTAACATAATCTATTCCAAATTTCTAACCTAGAGAAGGACTTTTGCCCCTTAAACATCCCAGTAATTCTTTGGATAATATCTGTTTAAACAGAACAAAAAGTAATTCGTTCCACTTTGGAATGGCATGAAATACATTACTGAAAACGTTTCCCATGTATATGGAAACCATTGATCCTACTTCTTTCCTGTGGATTACTGTAAATCTAATTCCTCTTGCATATGCTTTGTATTTTAAAATTTCAGAATGTGTCAGGCGACACATAAGGAAAATGAGATGTGTTTGAGTGTTTGCTTATGATTTAGCAACAACTGTGATAATAAAGTTTAAGAGTTCATGTGGTTAAGCCACTGGGAGTTAAGCAACTGCTCGCAATTCTGGCATTCCATATCAGTTTGAGTGTCATCTGCTTCACTTCCGATCTAGCTCCCTGCTAATGTGTCTGGGAAAGCAGCAAAAGACGCTGCAAGTCCTCAGGCCCCTGCCACCATGTGGGAGCTCTGGATGGAGTTATTAGCCCCTGGCTGTGGCCTGGCCCAACCCTCACTGTTTTCAGATACTTGAAGAGTGAACCAGCAGCTGGAAGATCTCCTTCTCTCTGTCTCATCCTCTCTTTGCTGCTCTGAAAATAAATAAATCTTTTTTTAAAGCTACCCTTTCATAAAATCAACAAAAACATGCACAAAAATTGTGAAAACCAACTTCCTCAGAATATGGGAAATTCATCAAAGACTTGGAAAAAATTAACTCATGTCAAGCTACAGTGAGGTCTTCAGAAGCATGCCAAAGAATTCTCTCCTTGTTTGTTTTATCTTTTTTCTCTACAGTAGAGCTTCCTGCTAATGCACACCTTGGAAGGCAGCAGATGATGGCTCAAGTACTAAGCCCTTGGGGCCAGCGCTGTGGTGCAGCGGATTAACGCCCAGACCTCAGGCGCCGGCACCCCATATGGGCACTGGTTCTGGTCCCTGATGCTCCTGTTCCGATCCGGCTCTCTGCTGTGGCCTGGGATAGTGGTGGAGGATGGTCCAGGTCCTTGGGCCCCTGCGCCCACGTGGGAGACCCAGAAGAAGCTCCTGGCTTTGGATCGGCACAGCTCCAGCCGTTGCAGCCATCTGGGGAGTGAACCATTGGTTGAAAGACCTCTCTCTCTCTGTCTCTACTTCTCTGTGTAACTCTGTCCTTCAAATAAATAAAAATAAATCTTTAAAAAAATAAAAAAGGTACTAAGCCCTGCCACCCATGTGGGAGATTCTGATGGAGCTCATAGCTCCTGGCTTTGGCCTGGCCCAACCCTCACTGTTGCAGGCATTTGAGGAGTGAAACAGTGGGGGTGGGAGTAATTCCTCTGTCTTTTTTCAAATAAATAAAATAAATAATTCTTTAAAAAAATCTATGTTTGGATCAAGTGATTGTCAGGCATAGAGATGAAATAAGGCTAAAGAAGAGATATATATAGGTGACTGAATCTGAATTCAATGAAAGTATTAACAAATTGTGATACTTAGCAGAAACGAATACATTTTTTTTTTGACAGGCAGAGTTAGACAGTGAGAGAGAGAGAGAAAGAGAGAAAGGTCTTCCTTTTCTGTTGGTTCACCCCCCAAGTGACCGCCACAGCCAGCTCGCTGTGCTGATCTGAAGCCAGGAACCAGGTGCTTCTCCTGGTCTCCCATGCAGGTGCAGGGCCCAAGGACTTGGGCCATCCTCCACTGCCTTCCCGGGCCACAGCAAAGAGCTGAACTGGAAGAGGAGCAACCAGGACAGAATCGGGTGCCTTGACCGGAACTAGAAGCCGGGGTGCCGGCGCTGCAGGTGGAGGATTAACCTAGTGAGCCATGGCGCCGCCCCGAATACATCTTAAGAGCAATAAGTGCAAAGTTTCATAATAAAATTTCCAAAATTCCCTGCATATCTGAACAAAATGGCTCTTCAACAGGCCAGGTGAAAAATACTTAGGGATTTTAACTGAACTGATGCGTGGCTATAAATGTATTTGAACAGAATCCTCTGAAGCAAGTGTGGTCATAATTTCACTGGATTTATGCTGGCCAGACCACACAGGGAACGTCAGTCCCTTTGCCCGTCCCTTGGAGGATCGTACTGACTAACTTCAAGTCAGGAGAACATCACCAGGGTGGCAATTACTAGGCTAAGCCCAAACAAAACACTCTGGGAGTGGGGCACGTGGGGAGCACAGCTCTTTTATAGAGAGAAGAGTGTCAGGACCCCTTAACGGAGTTTGGGGTGAGAGGAGGAGGGTACAGAAACCAAATGAGTATAAAGAAGCTCCTCAAACTCTAAGAGGAGCAAGCTTGAGGAGTAGTAAGTTCTCAACGCTGAGAAAGGTCAAGCTCACTCAACGGGCTGATCTTGGGGCGTTCCGGTGTCGGACCAGAGGTTGAATTGAGTCAACTTCGACTTGCCATTCTAGCCTAACAGAGGCAAGGGTGGGTCCTTGCACAGCAGGGCGGGTAGGGAGCCCGTGGGGACACACTGTTGCTCCGTGACTCGTGAGGGGGCCGCGTTTCCTGCGCATGGGTCACTTACCGTCAGCTGTTCCTCTGCCGACCCTTTTAGAAGCCTTTGGAAAGAGAACAGAGGGGATACGAGGGGGGCTGGGGAAAGAGGCTCCTGTATTAATCTTTCACGTCAGTTCCTGGCATTCCTGATCCGTTATGTCAATCTGTGTTTATAACTGAATTTAAAGTTTCAGGTTTCCCTTCCACAGCTGGGGCGGGGACTCGCCAACAGCTGCAAGGACTAGGGAGTGGCTAATAGTCGGAGGGCGCCAAACCACACATCTCTCTGCTTAAAATAATAAATAAATAAATAATCAGTGATTAGAGCCGGAAGGGGAGAGAGGTCCTCTTGTATCCTGCCTCCAACACCTCGTTTGCGCTGACGTTTGGATCACCTCTCTGGGTGAGGAACTAAGATGGAAACAGGTGCGCCTCACCCCTACATCTTGCCCTAAGCAGGGATTATCTTTGCTGCGTCCGCAGTGTCTGGAACCAATTAATCAAGGCCAGACAAAGGCTAGACAGGGAAACTGGAGGGGACAGGGTCGGGGGAGTGACGCCGAGAGCCATGTCCCGGGTACATGCCAGATGACATCATTGCCTGAAAGAGCTTTGGCCCTCCCCTTTCCGGAGCCGAAGACAGGCATGTCAGCGCGGGAGTAGGAGTGGGGCGGCCTGGAGGGTGTGTGTGGGGCGAGGCGGCGCTCCCGAGCTCCAGAGAGGCGTGCAAGCGCCGGAGAGAGACCGGAGGACCGCGAGCTGGAGAGCAAGCCGAGAAACCCCAGCGGCTGGAGGTGTTTGCGCCGCTCCGGCTCCGCCCCCGCTCCGCGCCGCGCGCCGCCCGGGGAGGGGCACGCTGGTCTGGGGGTGGGGAGTGTGTGCACCAGGGGGAGGGTCCGTGGTGGCGGCTGGGCGGAGAGCCGCCTGCGCAAGTCCAGGCCGACGGAGCACGCCCGGCCGGGGGCTGGGGAGGAGCCGAGGCTCACGGCCATCCAGGGTCAGCGCCCCGCGCGCTCCGGGGGCGAGCTCGGGGAAGGCGCTCCCTCCGCACCCACCCCCGCCTCTGAGACCGCCCGCCCTCCGGGCTCTTCCGCCTTCTTCCGGACCCCCTAGCAGCTCCCCGGGGAGCCGAGGGCGAGCGTGGACGGGACCTGCGCGGGTCCCTAGACGGGCGGCCTTGGTGGCTTCGGGAGTGGGGACACGCCCAGCCGGAGACGCCGGGCTGGGCGGATGAAGCTGGAGCGTAGCTGTGTCTAGGGCAGGCGAGAGGTGAATCGCCATGGACCCCTTCGACAGCGCAGCCTCCCACGGCCGGGCACGCGCCTCGCTGCCCAGCTGAGCTTGCCCTGGGCGCAAACTGGAGAGAAGGGCGAGCCACCGGAATCCCGAGTTCCGGGGTGGGCGGGGAGGCCACTGTCCGTGGTGCTGAGCCCGATCCCGGACACTGCTGGGCCGCTCCCCCTAATGGGGGCGGCCTGCTGGGGTCGCTTCCAGCCGAGACCCCCAGCGCGGAGTCTCCCCTGGCAGCGCGCTTGACCCCTATTCAGTCAGAAAATCACCCCCTTGGGGGAGTTCGTCCCCGAGGGTTTCCTCGAAAGAACCAGAGAGCGCAGTCTTTGACTGAGGAAATCTCTCTGTTTAGCCCCGAAGCCACCTGCGGAAAAAGATGCCTGCCTTCAACAGATCGTGTGTCCTGGCTTCCCTCTTGCTCATCTACGGGGGTAAGTACCGGCACCCCACTATGCGAGACGTAGATGACCGTAATGGTGCTAACTAATAGTCATGACACTTATCCATGTCTTTGGTGGCAGTAGGAGTTCTGGCTGTCTTCCCTCTGTATATGTCTGCCGGACATGGAGATCTAGGGCTTCCGTGAGAGCTGGGATTCAGAGCTTGGAAAGGCGCCTCCCCACTGCCCGTAGCCTAATCTCCTCTGATGTTCTACCTCTCCTCCAGCATCCTGATCATTCCAAAATTACCTCCCGCCCACCCCTTTCCCCTGCTGAACCGGAATATGGTCAGGTTCATTTCTATTTAAAAACAAAACAAAACATAAACAAGAACACCTTGCAGTTACATTTCATTTCTCAGTAAGGTGTCAGGACTCCTGGAAAGCTCCCTGAATCCCCCGAAGTGTTTTTCTATATTAAAAATAAAATAACAGTGGGATTCTGAATTTTGAGACTGGAGATAATTTAGCTGTTGACCCATCTGCTCACTTTTAATAAGGAATAGGAGGTAGTGGGCTTCAGCCATTTGCTGTTATATATTACTTTAATTGGAAACTGAAAAAATGCACCCCCCCCAACATAAACATGTGGAATGAAGATGCTTTTGGTATATGGGAAGCTGTTTTTTTTTTTTTTTCCCTTCAGAGGTGAGTAGACTTTTGCTTGTCAGCTATGAGAGACTGAGGTGACCTTCCCCCTCCAAAGAAGGCAGTCTTAGACTTGCAACAGTAAGGCCTGGCAAAGCGCTGTCAGGGATGAGCTTGGGGTGGGTGCCTGAAGGGTTTACGGGAGCCAAGAGCCTACATGATAATATCTGAATATATAATAGGAGACTGGGTTTTTCTCTGTGTCAGTGTGTGTCTCAGTGTCTAGTGTATGCACAAGCATGTATCGAAGCATGTTAGGATGGACATCTGAATGGAGTGGTGAGTGACCGTGTGTGTGTGTGTGTGTGTGTGTGTGTGTGTGTGGTTCTGGGCATCTCTGCATTAATGTCTGTGGTTATTAGACCCGCAGATCAAATGTATATGCCCTTCAGTTGATGCATTGCTTTGCCTGATCTGAGCTGCCTTCCTCCACGCTAAAATCAATACACAGGATAACCAGATATGGTCATGGCCATCTGCCTTAATGAAGGAAGGCATATGGGATTATACTCCCATGGCCGGTATGATGCTCTTCGTGGCTATGCAAGGCAGACGTGCTGGTGGGAATGGCCTCTTTGCTGTAATATCACTTTGTCAAACCTCCAGGACTAACTGTAGCTGCCAGCATTATCTGGATTTCATATGTGACCAGAGACACAGCTAAGCTTCCTGTTGAACAAAATGCCTGATGAGGTAGGCTAGGAAGGGTGAGGAAGGAGGGTAATGCCATCCCCAAGGACAGACTCAACCTCCGTCTATCCCCAGTAGAGTACACCAGACCTGGAGATGAATCAGACGTAATATGTTGCCAGTGATCTCACCTGCCTTAAAGATGAGGGCTGAAATTTTCTCGGGGGAAAGGCTGGGGACATGAGGCTTAGGGAGGCTAGTCTGACTGGGTGAGAGACAGTGTGGGTAAAGCTGGAGTTGCAGAGAAGGGTTGGGGTAAGTTCTGAGAAGACTGTCTTCCTATACCCTACTCTAAGTTTTTAAGGTTCCATTCCAAATTCCAGTGGAGGGATTGAGCATGCTGTAGGCAAAGAATCTTTTGATCAAGGCTTGAGAAAGAGTCTCAACTCTGCCACTAGCTTTCTGTGTTACAACCTTAGATTATCTGGTTGCTTGTATGTATTTGGAAGTTGGCACAGATGATATCTAACATCCCTTTCAGCTCCACAACTAAGTGATAGGGACGTATTTGCAGAATACTGCTAGAGATGACAGCACACCCTGCCCTACCTCCACCCCCTACACCCCCCCAAAAAAAACACAAGAATTGTACATGTCGCACCCATCCATGCTCATTCTCAGCTTTCTTTAAGCTGAACATTGGCTCACCAGACTGAACAGCTGCAGAAGGGAAAAAAGGATGTTATAGGATGCGTGGCTGTTAAATGAAAGAGAAAGAGCCTCACTTTACAAATGTAAATTTTCATTTGATTTGCATGTAATTCCAGTGTTGGGGAGTGCTTGGCTGTGTTCTCTGTTCCCAAGCTGATTTTTCACATGAGGTCCAATATGAATGCAAGAGTCTCCTCCATTTACTTCCTGTATGTATTGGAGAAACGTGTCCTCACTTCCTTTATTAAAGCATGCAGTAGTTATTTTAGAACCTACATGTGCCGGCCCCACGGCGCCGTGGCTCACTAGGCTAATCCTCCTCCTTGCAGCGCCGGCACACCGGGTTCTAGTCCCGGTCGGGGCGCCGGATTCTGTCCCGGTTGCCCCTCTTCCAGGCCAGCTCTCTGCTGTGGCCAGGGAGTGCAGTGGAGGATGGCCGAAGTGCTTGGGCCCTGACCCCACATGGGAGACCAGGAGAAGCACCTGGCTCCTGCCACTGGATCAGTGCGGTGCGCCAGCCACAGTGCGCCGGCCGCGGCGGCCATTGGAGGGTGAACCAACGGCAAAGGAAGACCTTTCTCTCTGTCTCTCTCTCTCACTGTCCACTCTGCCTGTCAAAAAACAAACAAACAAAAACAAACCTCCATGTGCCTGGTGCTGCACAGCTTACAATACAACTTTCATTTGGCCCTTATGTCCAGTCAATGCCATGTCAGGGGAAGGGGTGTTCTTTCCAGTTTAACGTTGAGAAAATGAGCTTGGGGAAACAGAGAACTTGCCAGAGAACTCCTGTCATCCTGGTTAAGCCTTCCAGGGCTCCTCCGAGCACCTCTGTGGTCTGCAGTGGGCAGCTGGCCTTCCATGTCCCTTCCATGTCTTCTCCAACCCCACACCATCACCTTTCCTAGGATCCCACACATCCTTTAGCCCTCGTTCCCTCTCTGCTTGTCCTCTTCAGGCCTGGCCTCCAAACTGCCCCTTATTTGGGGGACATTCTCCTCCCTCCTCCAGACTGCGTTTTCCTCATTCCGTTCCTTCAAGGCCCTAAGTGACTGCCTAAATCAGATTCCCGAAGCCATTTCAAGATGTGAACATCTAAAAATAACTTCATTATGGTGCCCTTTTGGAAATTATTTACATTCTAAAAGCAGCCTTCCTTATCTTAGTACAAAGGAAAAGCATTCTAGAGCAAGCTTGGGAGAGGCAACTTGGAAACACTCAAAGAAGAGAAAGATTCAGGGTTTGTAGGGGCGTTGGTACAATATGAGATACTTGAGAAATTTTGTGGAAAATGGAATTAGAGAGTAAGCTTATTTTGCTGCAAATTTTTTTAAAATCAATGTATATGAGGGGCCTTCAAAGAGTTTATGAAAAATGTGTATTATTGAAAAACTACACCTGGGTTTCAAAAATTATTTGCATCCAAGTAAATTATCTTTTTAAAAAAGATTTGATTTTTTATTTATTTGAAAGGTATATTTACAGAGAGAGACAGAGGGAAAAATCTTCCACCCGCTGGTTCATGCCCCAAATGGCTGCAATGGTCGGAGCTGGAACAGACCAAAGCCAGAAGCCTGGAGATTCTTCTGGATATCCCATATATGTGCAGGAGCCCAAGCACTTGGGCCATCTTCTGCTGCTTTCCCAGGTGCATTGGTAGGAGCTGAATCATGGAAGTGGAGCAGCCAGACTCAACTGGTGCCCATATGGAATGCCAGTGTTGCAGGCAGAGGCTTAACTTGTTATGCCAGAATGTCAGCCCTGCCCCAAATTATCTTTTAATCCCATTTTCCACAGACTTGTTGAAGTACCCTCATATGCATTACTATCCAGATGACAGGTTGATACTATTCCTTAGTTAAATAGTATCATCATAAATACATCATCTTCTTCTTTTCATAAGTTTTTAAAAAAAGATTTATATATTTATTTGAAAGGCAGAGTTATAGAGAGAGAGGGGGAGTGACAGAGCAAGAACTATGCAAATTGAAAAGGAGGCCAAAGGTCAAATGATTCAGCCATTATTCCAGGAGTTTATCATTAATAGTCAGCAATGTGGATTCCTAACTTATGCACAGCCTTCTCCTGGATACACAGAGGGTCTCATAGGAGCATAGGCAGGGGTGGGTTGGAGACTCCATGAGTGGACAAACAGACTTCACCTCCTGATGGAAAGAGTAGTAAGTCATATTGCAAAGGGCAAGCAAACAGAGGACTTTGTGGTCATTTGCATTGTATTATCCAGAAGAGTGCCTTGAAGCTGGACTTCAGCCAGGAGCAGGGAAGCTTGCACCCTGATGGTATCTGGATTACCGTCCCCTCAGGGACACATGTTCATCATGACTCCATGTATCCCCCTCCCCGCCTTTAACTGTAGGTGCTCCTGTCTCTGCTACCCTATCTACTTGTTCATGAGAGCATGTCACCTCTCACCTACTCAAGGAGGGTAATCCAACAAATGATTCCCTTTCTTTAAAGATTTATCAATTATTTATTTGAAAGTCAGAGTTACACAGAAAAGGAGAGGCAGAGAGAGAGAGAGAGAGAGAGAGAGAGAGAGAGATCTTCCATCCAATGGTTCACTCCCCAGATGGCTGCAATGGCTAGAGCTGCGCCGATCTGAAGCCAGGAGCCAGGAGCTTCTTCTGGGTCTCCCACGCGAGTGCAGGGGCCCAAGGACTTGGCCATCTTCTACTGCTTTTCCAGGCCATAGCAGAGAGCTGGATCGGAAATGGAGCAGCAGACTAGAACTGGCGCCCATAAGGGATGCCGGCACTGCAGGCGGCGGCTTTACCTGCTACACCACAGCACTGGCCCCAAATGATTCGCTTTCAAACCCCCACAGTTCCACATCTTCAATGAAGTGAAATCTTGGCTCCTGTCACTGCACCAGCTCATTCTCTCTGCACCCACTCTAGTTCCCCTTCACCTCCCCAGCTGATTCTCAACAATGGTCACATCGTGTCATTTTACACCAATCAGATCATATCATCCTTGCATTTGGAGGCCTCCGGTGTTCCTGGTACTGCTCCAAGCAAGAACCAGCATTCAAATTAACCGTGGGCTGCAAGAGCTGCCGTGATTAGGCCCCTGACATCCTCTCCTGCTTGCTTCCCTTTTATTCCTGCTTGGTCCACCATGCTTCGCACCGTGGGTTCTTTCTTGGCTTTCAAGCATGACAGACACACACCTTGGGACCCGTGTGCTCTGGAGCTACCATTTCCTATGGCACAGATACCCCTACAATGTCTTGCCTTCCTTCTTTCCTTCAGTGGCCGCTCAGTGTTACTCTCTCCCTGGGGCCATCCCCAGCGGCTTCATGTGCTTTCTCTCTCGTCTCCCCCATTGTATTTTTTCTTATAGCACTGAACCAATGTTTATTTATGCCCCCCCCCCCCCCGCAGTGGAATGTAACCTGCATGAGAGCAGGGATGGTTCTGTTTGGTTCCTGTTGTGTCCTCAGTGCCGAGAACAACGCCTGGTACTGGACATATTTGTCAAAGAAATGAAGGATTAAAAAGCATTCATGAATGACATTTCTACAGAGCACATTTACATAAGTTAATGTGTAGAATTCTCCTGACAGATAGAGGTTATTTTCAGCTTCTTGTTCATGAAAAGTTGAATCTTAAGAGGTGTGAAGTCATAGACCAAACCCAGTCATTCAGTGGCAGTAACCCATCTTCCTGCAGCCTCTATCACTATAACTGGATGTTCCTTGGGATTTTTCCTATTCGGCTCCTGAGGTCACCAACGAAATCTGTCATCTTTACCACCGCTCATTCAATGTGAGTGCACCCAGGGTTGCATGCTGCAGTGTTCTGGCTGCGTGCCTTCTGCCCCTCTGTCCACTCACAAACTTGTACAAAAACCATACCTCTATTTTAAAAGAAAAAAATCATTCTATATTCAAGACTTCAAACTCATTAGATGCTGAAGATGCTTTTTTTTTAAAGATTTTATTTTTATTTATTTGAAAGAGTTACAGAGAGAGAAAGAGAGAGAGAGCGAGAGGTCTTCTATCTGCTTGTTCACTCCCCAGATGGCCGCAACAACCGGAGCTGCACCGATCCAAAGCCAGGAGCCAGGAGCTTCCTCCAGGTCTCCCATGTGGGTGCAGGGGCCCAAATGCTTGGGTCATCTTCTACTGCTTTCCCAGGCCATAGCAGAGAGCTGGATCAGAAGAGGAGCAGCCGGGACTAGAACTGGCACCCTTATGGGATGCTGGTGCTTCAGGCCAGGGCTTTAACCCACTGCACCACAGTGCTGGCCCCTGAAGATGCTTCTGCTCACTTATCCCAGTGTGGACCCTCTGTCCATGCAAGTGATGACCAGATGGCCAGATAACACTGCCTTGAATTTCTTGAGAGTTTCAAATACAATTAATATTACTTTGCTTTGAGTTTTTTAAACTTTAAGTTAATTATAGTGCTGCTGATTTTAACTCTATGTTTAAAAATGAAATTTGTTTCCTTCTAGTCAAACACAATATTTAATTTTTTGATTCAAAATTAGTTTATACCAGTTTCATTTTAAGCTCTAAAAAAAGCTTTTCTGTGCTTTTTTTAAAAAAAGATTTATTTGGGGCCGGCACTGTGGTATAGTGAGTAAAGCCACTGCCTCCAGTGCCAGCATCTCATATGGGTGCCAATTGGAGTCCCGGCTGCTCCACTTTCAATCCAGCTCTCTGCTATAGCCTGGGAAAGCAGTAGAAGATGGCCCAGGTCCTTTGGCCTGGAAGAAGCTCCTGGCTTCAGATCGGCACAGCTCTGGCTGTTGCAGCCAATTGGGGAGTAAACCAGCGGATGGAAGACCCCCCCAACACACACACCTCTCCTTCTCTCTTTGTGTAACTCTTTCAAATAAATAAATAAATCTCTTTTTTAAAAGATGGAAATGCAGAGGGATAGAGAGAAGGGGAGAGATAAAGAGAGGAAGAGGTCTTAAATTCTGCTGGTTCTCTTCCCAAATGGCTGCCACAGTCAGGTTTGGTCCAGCTGAATCCAGGAGCCAGGAACTCCATCCTGGTCTCCCACGTGAGTGACAGGGACCCAGGTACTTGAGCCATCTTCTGCTACCTTCTCAGGCAGATTAGCAGGAATCTGGATTGGAAGCAGAGTAGCCAGGATTCACACTGGTACTCTGAGAAGCCAGCACTGCAAACAGCTTAATCTACTGCATCATAAACATCGTCCCTCTTCTGTTTTTAGAAAAGGGTTCTCTGTATTCTCTGTCTCACCACCAACAGTGGACTAGTTTTAAAATATCAGTGAGTATTGTTTTCATTTGTTATACTTCAGGGACTCTGCTTTTATTATTAACTCATGCAAAGGGAGCATCTGAAGGAACTTCAATGTCCCTATATGACAATGCTTGTGGTTGTCTTACCTCTGCATCTTCCAGGCAATGAGGGGTAAACTCTTTTACCAAGTACAGTTTTGCATTTATGAATCGCTGCAACATCAGAAATCTCTTCTCATTGCAACAAACTTATTTTTTTTCTTAGCACGGTTGAAGGTGGGCAGAATCAGAGTAAAAGTCAGACAAGTTCCGTGTTGGAGCTGAGTCCTTCAAGTCCTCCCCTTTGTCCCCAGGCCCCCATCATCCTGCTGCTCTCTGGGCATGCACGCATCCAACAGGTTCCTTTTGTAAAATGTGCACCCTGAACAGATCCTGACAGTCCAGATTTGTTCTGAACAGTGCAGGCGGGCTGCTCCTCTTCCCTTCTGCACACTACATCTGTTAGTGCAGCCCACACTGGCACTTGCTTGCTTGGCAGCTGTGTCCCACTTTGGATTCATTCTGAATTTGCAATATGATGTACTCACTTTAAAAAAAAAAACAGACTGTAAGTCTAAATCTGCATGTGGCATGCAAGGTGGCCCACGTTCTGACCTCCCTCTAGATTTTTAACTTTGTCAGTCTGCTCCTCCCATCGCACACTGCTTCACCTAGTGCTCAGGGTACCCTGCTCCTCTCTGCTGCTCCATCTGCCACCACACGTCAGAATCACTCAGAGCATCCATGAAACACACAAATGTGTACACTGCTCCACAGCTTTGAAGGACACCTGGTGGTCTTCAAAACGTGGGTGCTGTCCACCTTCCCATGCCTCTCTGCCTTCCTCGCAGCGCAACCAGGAGTGACTAAGCGCTCTCCCTCTGGGAACAGAGCACATCACCAGTAGTATGCCACGCTCTGTGGTCTGGCTTACTCATAGTTATGGCTAGGTGTTCCCTGCTAGGTTATTAATGCCGTGAGGGCACGGTTAGTGTTTTGTTCATCTTTGTATCTTTAGTTGAGGACCAGACCTGACACAGAGTGGACTTCAGTGAATGGCTGTTGAATGAGGGCGTGGATGGATCGTAGATGATGCCCGCATGCCCTTTCTCCCTGCCAGCCTTTGAGGACAGGGCTCAAGTCCACGTCTGCTGCATCTCCACCACTTCCAGGGCCAGGCTTTCAGTCTGTGTCTGGACCATCCATGTCCCCTCCACCTCATTCCGCACCAGTTCTGAGCACACACACTTGGAAAGTGCAGGTGAAGGTGCAGACATGTGGACCGTGGCTATTTTCAAGTTTGTCTCATGATCTTCCTTCTCTGTCTCCTCCCTCTCTCCTCGTTTCCCAATGCCCCCCTCTCACCGGCCCCTCCCTGCCACCTGCCCCTCCTTCCCTGTCACCCGCCCTCTCTGCAGTCAGCGTCTGCTTCCCCGTGTGTGTGGAAGTGCCCTCGGAGACGGAGGCTGTCCAGGGCACCCCCATGAAGCTGCGCTGCATCTCCTGCATGAAGAGGGAGGAGGTGGAGGCCACCACGGTAGTGGAATGGTTCTACAGGCCCGAGGGCGGCAAAGACTTCCTTGTATGTCCTCCGGCTGACTTTGGCCTTTCTTTTGCTGGTCTCTGCTGTTGTGTGCCCGACTCCTGACAGTCTAGGGGATGGCAATTTAGCACACTCGGGCTTTTTTTTCTTCCAAGTGCTGACAGCTCCTCAGTGGATAAGTGACAGCCTTAGTATAGCTCAGCTCCTTTGAACCAGGGAGAAAGGCACTTGGCCAGCCTCAAGCACCCCTGGGTACCAGCAGGAAGAAGGATGAGGAGGAGATAAACCGTATTTAGAGCCGGTTGTGGCTAGGCACAAAACTAGGCACTTGGCGAGTATTTCCATTTAATTCCCCACACCATCCCCTGGAGAATTGAAATAAAACAGAGCACGGTTATATGCAATAACACAGGTTAGCTCCTTGAGGTCACACAGAAATAAGGATGAAAGCGATGACCAAGGCTGATGGTCAGCTGTCCAGCTGCATCCATGGGCAGAATGTTTACTTCGTTCTCCAGTGGGTCCGTGCTGTGCCTCACCTCCCATGTGGCCCCAGCACCCTCCCTCCCACCAGGAACCCCTAGTCCTCCCCATGACACACACTTCTGGCAGAGCAGGGAGCCCTCCCAACTCTGATCCTGTGCCACAGCCAATGTCAGTGGCACAGATGGCTGGTGAGCATCTGTTTGTAGTCCCACTTTGGAGGTGACCATTATCTACTCTTCCACTGACTCTGGGGCCAGGGTGCCTGGGTTTGAGGCTGGATTCCACTCTTAGCTCTGTGCCCTGGAACACACAACCCAACCTCTCTCTGCCTGTTTCCTGGTTTTAAAAATGGGGTATGTGACATAGCTACCTTATAGGTTGTTACCAGGACTCATGAGCTCTGATTTTCTGGGTTAGTAGAAAGTACTTCCTGGAATACGAGGAAACACTGTATTGTTTCCCGGAGAAATGATATATACACAGAAGTGGGGAAACTGAGGCTCAGGAAGTTAGGTAAGAGAGAGTTCGCATTTGACAGCAGTTACAAGGCACTTTTTATTACACCACGTTGTTGTTCTGGGGCCAGGTTCTCTTGCACAAAGATTTTTAATGGAGACAGCCCTGGGTGGAACTGGCTTTTGCTAGCTCCTGTTTCTTGCTTTCCTAAAGCTGAACTCGTTCCTTTTTTCCCCCCAAGATTTATTTTATTTATTTGAAAGGTAGAAGGACAGGGAAACAGAGAGAGAGAGAGAGAGACAGAGAGAGAAAGACAGAGAAAGAAAGAGAGTGAGAATCTTGCACCTGCTGGTTCACTCTCCAAGTAGCCACAATGGCTGGGGTCAGGCTGAAGCCAAGAGCCTGGAACTCCATCCAGGTCTCCCACATGGGTACAAGGGTCCAAGCACTTGGGCCATCTTCTGCTGCTTTCCCAGGTGCATTAGCAGGGAGCTGGATCAGAGGTAGAGCAGTCAGGATGCAAACCGGCACCTGTATGGGATGCCAGCACCACAGGCGTAGCCTAACCTGCCATGCCACAATGCCAGCCCCACTGCCCATCTTTCTCCATCTTTGTTCTCTCCTGCCCTTTGCATCTCCTCATCCTCCCCCAACAAAAAATTCTAGGTCTCCTGGTGCGTCCTCTCTCTTTCCTAACCACCTGCGATTCTTCTCTACCCCATTCCCATCTTGCTGTCCTACTCTATCTCCTCTCTGGGCCCTATCCTCTTCTGTCTCTGTACCTGCAGATCTACGAGTACCGAAATGGCCACCAGGAGGTGGAGAGCCCCTTCCAGGGGCGCCTGCAGTGGAACGGGAGCAAGGACCTGCAGGATGTGTCCATCACCGTGCTCAATGTCACTCTGAATGACTCCGGCCTCTACACCTGTAACGTGTCCCGAGAGTTTGAGTTTGAGGCGCACCGGCCCTTCGTGAAGACGACGCGGCTGATTCCCCTCCGAGTCACCGAGGAGGGTGAGGCTGAGGCTAGAGTGCCCTGCTCTGTGGGACTCACTGGAGTGGGGCAGGAGGGCTGTGGGTTTCCACACAAGCGAGGCCTTTGAAGAATGCAAAAGCTTGTGTTTTTAGCCAGCTTCCTGCAAGCTGTCTGATCAATTTATCTGGTCAAAGTCTGCCTCTCCTGAAAGCAGGAAAGCTTGGAGATGACAGAATGATCTCTTCCTGGTCCGTACAGAGAAGGGAGCCCCCAGATACTGATTCAACTCCCACTTCTTCTCTGGCCTGTGTTGTGCCCCTGACTCAGTGGGCTCAGGGAGATCTCACGAGGTTAGCTACAAGTCATCTCTCCTCCTGTGGAAATCACTGGATCTCTAACTTCAGCCAGCCTCAGAATCTCCAGCAGGGCTTTGTGGATGCAGACTCTGCTTCTGCAAGTGGAGCCCACGAGTGTTGCCTTGTTTACGAAATGCCAGGTGATGCTGAGGCCACAGGAGCCATCCAGTGAGAGCCACTCTCCAGTGTCTGTCACCACCGCTGCAACACCTTCCTTACTGTGGCCTCTCGCCTTACACTCTTGGCTGGGAGCAGGGAACAAGTAATAGCTCTCAAGTTCTTAATTTAAAATCCTCAAGCTCCCACACTAGTTCCTTGTTAGTGAGTGGGAAGTTCTTTCAGCAGCCTACTCAAAGATTTCTGTTGCAGTCTTGAGTCCAGAATTTTGCGGGTGAGCGTGGAGGGTGCTCAGACACTGCTCTTGCTCTGCTGCCAATGGACTCACAGAACTGAGCCCCTGGCTCCTCCCAGTGCATCCTGCCTTGGGTTTCCTCCTCCGGGCTCCACGGTCGTTCCATTTAGTTAGCTTTTCTCAGCCTGTTTTGAGCCTGTTCTTAGCATCACTGCTGCCTAATATGCACAGTGGTGAGCCGGCCAGTGAACGGTGTGAGGCACGGAAGAAAAGGTGAAGTTAAAGTTTGGGCTCTTTCTAGAAAAAGGATCTGGGAATCCTAACCTCCAGGCCACCAGTTTACTTATTTTTTAATCATGTCATTGTGAGAAAGAAGATTGCTTTGTCTTGAGAGTGAGCGATGAGAAAGATGCAACTGGTTAGACATAGACAGTAAGACCAAATTGCAGGTAGGTCAGTTCTCAAAGCGCAGGAGGACTTTTGAGTCCCTTGCATGGAGACCTGATGAGTCACCGTCCCCTCTGAGCCCTCCGGTTCTTAGCTGCTTCTGTTTACACTGCGCGCCTCCCTGCCGTGGTGGGGGTGAGACAGCCTGGCGCCCTCTCCTGGTCACCATCAGGAACTGCTGGCTGGGACCTGCCAGGCCCTGGGATGGTGCCTGTTGTCTCTACCCCCTGTTCCCTCAGGTTTTTACCCCTAGAGACCCTGGTACACAACTGGTAGAAAGTGTGGCAAAGCTCAGCTGGTTGCCTGCCAGGCACCAGAGCAAGCCTGGTAAGGAAGGAAGGAAAAACAACTTTGTTGTCAGAGCCACAGTGCCGCGTGGATGGTCCGGCTGGAATGCAGCTTGGATATCATTTAATCCACTGGGGCCTCCATGCCATTGCAGGTGTGAGTTGGGGTGGGATCTCAGGTGATAAGAGGGTACAGCCAGGCTGCCCCTCACTTCGTGGCTTGGAGAACAGAGCTCTGCAGGGGTGGGGGACTTGCTTGGGACAGGAAGCAGGTAGCACCAGAAACTGGGCTGGATTGCAGATCTGCTTATCAGGCTGGCTCTGTTCCCAGTGCATCCTTCCCTTCTGCCACCATCCCCTCTCCAACACGCTGCTTCTTTTCTTTGCCTCTGTGACCCCTCCCCCGGGGGGGAGGCAGCCCTGCCCACCAGATGTCCTCTGCCTCATATTGCCCATGACACACCCTACCCATCTCCTCTATTCCTCTGGTCCCAGAGAAGCCCCCAGGTTCTCTTAGTTGGGCCTGGATTTGCCCTGGCTTTGGCTTTCACCTCCTGACTCTGAAACAGAAATACGAGGGCTCTTCACTTAGAGATGTCTAATAATACTGAGGACGGCACCCTGTGTTACCACTTCTCAGCAACTGCATTTGAAAAGAGATTGCAGGTTTTAAGACAGACATGTCACAAACAGTGTATCAGGCAGTCGCAAAGGCACAAGAAGACATTTGGGGTGTATGGCATTCTCTGCAACCTCAAGATGTTATCTGTGTCTTCCAGTTCCATTTAGGAAACTTGGATGATCCCGGAGCTCCTAGATTGTCTGAAGTGAATGTCATGGTTGGCTATGCTGTACTTTTTTTTTTTTTTTTTTTTTTTTGAGACAGAAAGACAGGGCTCTCAGCCACTGGTCTGCTCCCCAAATGCCTGCAACAGCCAGGGCTGAGCCAGGCTAAAGTCAGGAGCCAGGAGCTCAATCCAGACCTTCCACTTGGATGGTGGGAACCCAGTTATTTGAGCATCCCCACTGCCTCCCAGGGTGTGCATTGGCAGAAGGCTGAAGTCAAGAGCATACTGAACCCAGGCACTGTGATGCAGATCCTAGGTCTTACTCACTGGGCTAAACACACACCCGAGACGTGCTGTGCTAATTTTAACAAGCAAGGATGACATGGGCCCTAGGGAAACACTGGGCCATGAATCTACTGGTAGGAGTTGGCAAGGGTAGAGGTGGCTGCAACCTCCCTCCTACTAGGACACAGTGGCCATGTATCATGTTTTCATTGGCCATTTTTGTCAATTGAGAAACAAAGATCAATACTTATTTTTAGTGATTCATTCAAGAAATACCTACTGGGTACTTTGGACATTCCAAGATGAGACAGCAGACTGATAAACCACAATGAATATTAAAGCTGTCAATAAGAGTCAATAGAAAAGAGACAAACTTCACAGTACACCCTCAGAACCCTCATCACGGAGGGACAAAGTGAATGAGAAGAATGTGAGTGAGGACATTTCCATATGAGAGGGCGCCCAGCGGAGTCCAGGAGCCCTGTGAGGAGACAGGAAAGCAGCAGCTGGGGATTCAGTCCAGAAGAGGGGAGAGGAAGAAGAAACCTCTGCAGATTCTGAAATACCAAGGTGTGGGTGCCAAGTTTTTCTGGCCAGCTGAATGGGAATGGGGTGAAAAGAGCTGGCCCAGAGTCTGGGCTTGACCCCGCGACGGCATGGAGCACAGGAGGGTTTTCAGCAAGGAAGTTGCAGACCTCGATCTGTGCTTCAGAAATAGTGAGGGAGCAAGTGATGTGGCACAGCGGGTTCAGCCACTGCTTGTGACACCTGCATCCACATCAGAGTGCCAGGTCAAGTTCCAGCCACGCTGCTTCCCATCCAGCTTCCTGCCTACGCATCCTGGGAGGTAGCAGAAGATGGCTGAAGTGCATGCACCCCTGCCCTCCCCATGGAGAGTCTGATTGAGTTCTGGCTCCTGGCTTCCGCCTAGCCCAAATCTGGCTGTGGCATGTGCAATGTTTCTTTTAATCCAGGACTGGTTGGCTACATGGAAGTGGGAGCCGTGGGTATGAGGGCCAACAGTAACTGTATAGTTAGCTCACTCTGAGCCCAAGATTCCTTCTGCTGCCCTGCTACTTCTTCCAGCCATCACACTCCTGCATTTTCATCTCCAGAGCGGCCGATGAAAAGCAGTAAGAGGCTGGCGCTGTGGCTCACTAGGCTAATCCTCCACCTTGCGGCGCCGGCACACTGGGTTCTAGTCCCGGTCGGGGCGCCGGATTCTGTCCCGGTTGCCCCTCTTCCAGGCCAGCTCTCTGTTGTGGCCCGGGAGTGCAGTGGAGGATGGCCCAGTACTTGGGCCCTGCACCCCATGGGAGACCAGGAGAAGTACCTGGCTCCTGCCATCGGATCAGCGCGGTGTGCCGGCCGCAGCGCGCCAGCCGTGGCGGCCATTGGAGGGTGAACCAACGGCAAAGGAAGACCTTTCTCTCTGTCTCTCTCTCTCACTATCCACTCTGCGTGTCGAAACACATAAACAGAAACAGAATAAAAAAGGAAAAAAAGAAAAGCAGTAAGAAAGCTGACGTCAGGACAGCTGTAGGATAAGAAACTCCTCTGGTGTCCTCTGAGTTCCTTTGAACTCTGGGCTTTCTTAATCCATCCTTAAAAACAAGCCTCCTGTCTGTCCCAGTGACAGCGCTCGGTTTGTGGGACACCACACCCGTGCTTAGCCTCACTCTCCTCCTTACAGCTGGAGAGGACTTCACCTCCGTGGTCTCAGAGATCATGATGTACATCCTTCTGGTCTTCCTCACCCTGTGGCTGCTCATAGAGATGGTTTATTGCTACAGGAAGGTTTCAAAGGCCGAAGAGGCAGCACAAGAAAACGCGTAAGTCCAATGATGCCAAAGGAATGCTAGCTAGCACCTTCAGGATGCTTGCTGTCCCAGGTGAGCCACTAAGCAATCTGTATACATCTTCCACCTTCTTCTCCTAACAGCCTTTGAGGTAGGCACTGCTATTATGCCCATTTTACACATGGGAACACTGAGTCTGACCGTTTTCCTGAGGCTACTGGAAAAGGCAAAATGAAGTTTTAATTCAAGCCTGCTGACTGCTGGCCTCCACCCCCCCACCCAAGACCTGAGTGAGCACCTGTTAGAAAACATGGAGTCTGAGAGACCACATTGGCCTCAGGAAGAGGAAAGACAGAAAAACTCCCACGGATTCCTGGCAACATTCACGGGGCAGGAAGCTAAAAAGCCCCAGCTGTTACCACCTAAAATTGTTTGATAAAAATGAAGAAAACATCCTTTTGCATATGTATGATGTCAGGGAAATAAAAAGTTAAGGCCAGGTCGAGATAAAAAGTGTGATTCTGAGGGAGGCTGTAACTCCTGGTGACCTGGGTGCTGGGATTTTAGTGCTTGGACAGGAAGTGCCCGTGCTTGGACAGGAAGTGTCCAGGTTTGACAGGAAGTGCCCGTGCTTGGACAGGAAGTGTCTGCAATCAGGGTCACATAAAAAGCACAGTTGGAACTGAGGCCCTCAGCAAAGCTAGGATCCTCAGAAGGCTATAGCTCACACAGAAGTAGACTGGGAGTAAGCACTGGCCCAGGAAAATGCCAAGCAAAGTTACCCATTTTGGTCTAATTCCAACTAGAAGAATGAAACAGTCCTAAGAATTAGCATCAACGCCTGCTTTCACAGTGTTTGGCATTTAAGTTTATATGACCTGCCCACGTGAGCCAGGAACCTCATAAGCTGTGAAATTCAATAAAAACTAGTCCCTGGCCAGTGATAACCATGTTTCACAGAGGCAAATGGAAACCCATCTTGAAGGGACCCCACCTTTAGCCAAAGCCTAACTGGGTTCCCCAGATTAAGTGCTGTCACATCTGATTCACAATCCAGTTCCAAACCAGAACACACTGTAGGAAAGAGCTGAGGCTCAGACACAGAAGGGCCTGATAAAGTACAGAAAATAAGCGCACTTAAAATACAGCAATAAAGGAAGCAATCAAAAACACACGAACAAAGTAGGCTGCTAAGAAAAAAAAAAAAACAGACAAATTAGGAATGACAACAAAAATTCTTCAATTGAAAAAGATAGCAAAATTTAAAATTCAATGGGCTGGCTAATTTAGAATATTAGAGACTGGTTAGCAAAAGAGAAATGTGAGGAGTTATACAGGATTAAGCACAGAGATGGAAAAGGATGAGCTGTAACAAAGAAAACCCATTAGGACAGAATACAAAGGCACAAACCAAAGAGGGGGAATAATGATAAATTTGATTATACTACATATAAGAATCTAATGTTCACTATAAGAATCACTAAGCAAATTTCTAGACAAAAAACAGACTTGGAGAAATGTTCCAGACATGAAACCATCAGTGAAAAATCAATGAGAAAAAAAAATCTCACAAGAAAAACTGGCACAGCAAATGGACAGAGGACAGAAATAGAAGCACCAATAGCTCCTAAACATGAAGAGATGCTCGATTTAAACAGGGACTAGGGAAATGAAAAGGAAAGCAAGTGTAAGATACAGTTTCTCACCCATCAGTTTGGCCAGAATCTTAACCAAATAATAATACTAAGTCCTGAGGACAGTGCAGACAATGAGAAGACACATCCTGCTGGTGGGTGTACCTGGATCTGCTGGAAGGGCCATTCTAGCTGTCTCTTGGGAACTGCAGAGTTTTTCTGCAGACACCTTTGTCCCTGAGCCCTGCTCTTTCCCCTTTGTTGTCCCCTCCTCACTGGACACTGAAGCACTGATGCCCTTGCCCCTTCCTCATGTCCTCCTCCAGGTCTGACTACCTTGCCATCCCTTCAGAGAACAAGGAGAACTCTGCGGTCCCAGTGGAGGAATAGAACAGAAGCGGTACGACAGAGGTGATCTACAGGGACTTACATGGGAGGGGAAGGTGGAGGTGGGCGGCAGCTTGCACAGGGGACTTTAAATTGGTCCCTGAGATTAATGCCGACTCTGTCCATGGTCCCCACATTCCTTTACATTGACACCCAAGCCACAAAGCTTTGTCCGACATCAAGCCCTTCAGAAGATGGACTGCCTTGGCCTTAGTCTTGGGGCAACCTGAACTCCTTACCCCTGGTAACAAAGGCCTAATCATTTCTCCCATTCCCCAGATTGGATCAATGAGTCTTTGGGCTGGGCTGGAAATTTTCAGTGTGTTGTTTTGTTATTGGTAGGTGGCCTGAACACTGAGGGACTGAATAGCCCAGGTTCAGTGATGTCAACAGCATCATGAGGGTACCCCAAGGGTCCCATCACTTCTCTTCCTGCATCCATCTTTCTCTTCATTCGTCCACACATCCACCCACCTGTGAGCTTTCACCTCTGACATGAAACCATCATAACTCCATCAGATCTCTACGCACCCTGAGATTTGGCCAGAACTGAGGAGCCAACATCTCTACACAGACTCAACCTCTCCCTGTCCTAGCTTTCAAGCAAGCAACTCCTGTGCCAGCTGGACTTCTCCCCCTGAGCTTCCAATGATTTCATACAAGTGCTAGAGGTAGCACTTGCCTCTGCCCCTAACTGGCTGGAACTGACTCGTTCTCCATTGCTGCAACAGAATGGATGTCTACGTGGAAGGAAGCAGGACTGACTAGTTTGGATTAAAGCAAACACATGTCATAAACTTGGATTTCTTGAAGTCAGTGTTTCCAAGCTCATGGCTCTCTGGGCTAGAGCACCAGAATGAAACATCTCTCTCTTTAGGTTCCCTAGATCCTTATGCATGGACTCAAATGCTCTCTGGAGCTTAGTTTTCCAGGGCTAGATCTTGATAGGTTTCTGAGGCCTGGGTTGGATTCAGTCCTTCCAAGCAGCCAAAGACAGTGCACGGGACAGTGCACGGGAGCGCCCCCTGAGGAGGATACCACCTGGGCTCTGGGACTGAAATTCCCAAGTTCTTCCTCTAAAAATGTCTGTGAATCAGTATTATTCCTCATTTCATAGGAGGCAACTCAGACTCACACAGCGTTCAAGTGAGTGACAGACTTAAGAGGATGAGAGAAAAGCCTTAAGCGTTGCCCAGTGTACTCCCTGGGATGGATCACTGAGCTTGGCTATGGCAATGGCTCTTTTACAAGCACAGATGAGAGTGGGTTGCCCAGCTGAGGTTAGCTCTGATTACATGGAGGTAACTAGAAATTGGCCAAAAAATCACAGATGGACACGAGGTGGACCCAAAGGATGTGCTTGGTGTAAAGATGCGTGGATGCATCTGAGAACATTTAACCAGGAAGAATGCTGTTGAACCTGAGATGGGTGGTGAGCGTAAGAGCAGAAGGGAGGGCTGCTTCATCTCTGAAGCCATGTTGGCTTTGTGTTTTTCCTCCCAGATTATGAGGGAGTAGGGAACTAGTGGGAAAAATCAGTCAACATCTCCTGTTTCATTCTGATTGAATGGCCCAAGGGTGACAACCTTCAGCACATTGTCACGCGGGGAAGGACTCTCTATGGATTTTAAGAAGATACAAGTGATTGCGATTCAAGGGCAGAGAGATCCCTTGAATCCGGGGAGCTGCAGGGCAAGACCACTGTGCACTGACTCTGGGCTCCCCCTGGAAAGCTCATTCTTTCATCTCTTCCATCCCTGAAGAGGAATTAGAAACCACACCCTTATCCCATATTAGAGTCTGAATTTGTTCAATATCTGCAATAAATTCAGGACCCTTGTGATGGGTAATTTCCCACACAATCCCTCTGAAGTAGGGGAGAGAAAACAGAACAGTTTTCTTATTTTATAGTTAGAAAAACAGGCTTGGATTAGTGCCAGGTTTTCCCAGTCATGTAGCCTGTGGATGCTGTAGCTTGCCATAGTAGCAAACTACTTCTTATCTCTCCACTTGCCTCTTGGTTCCAGTGGATCTTGCATCTAACTTATTCCCATGTAGTATACATAGCGGCCTTTCTCTCTTTTCTGCTTAAGAAAATGATGGTTCTGGAGTGCAGTTTTTTGGAGCTGAATGGCATCGGTCATGTTTATCCCCACTCTTCAGTTTTCTAACTCTTCTTGTCCTAGATACTTTCATTAAAACTATATGGTTTGCAAAGCATTTTCACTTCAATTATTTTATTTCTTTTCCACAACTAGTCCTGTGAAATGGATATTATTAATACTTGTGATACATTTCCAAAGTTAAGTAGCTTTACTAAGTCATGAGGTCACCTGGTTGGTAAGTCCAGCCAGAATCCAAGTCTCTGACTCTTTTTCCAGTTCCTTTCCATGTAGACCAGAGATTCTTCTTTCTTATTTTTTTTCACTTCTGTTCAATCTTTGCCTCTCTTTCTTGTTCTGATGTTTGGCATCTTCTCTCACCCTAATCCCCTTCACGCTTCTTTAATGCTTTGCTTCTTGATGGATTGCTAGAAATGTGTTTTGAGAGTCAATTCTACTTTGGTTATGTTTCTGGTTGGTTTGTGCACCCTTTTTCCTCCTGAATTGCAATTAAACTCCTTCCTGGGAGACTTGATCATGGCTATATATCCACAAGGTACTGTGATCACCAGTCTACTTCAGTTTGTCCCCCAGCTCTCTGGTTCTCCCTGTATTTCTTTAAAAGACCCAGACTAAATGTATGTAGCTTTTGAAACTTTATCTGGCATGTGGTTGCTTACTAAAGGGCTTATTAGAAGAGTCCTCAAGGGCTATTATCACCTTAGAAACCCCATCTGTTGTCTTGGTGCTGGGTATTTCCCTTGACTGGTCCTAAATGACACAATTCACTAAAGGCCAAGCTAGGTTGGGTCTGACCTCCCCTTGGTTACTGTGTCACAGCCGTGACTTGATTGCTCAACTCTGTGAGCCCTGGAAGCACCTTGCCCTCTTGACTTGAACTGTCAGCCCAGTCTCTTTATCAAAGCCCCAACCCCTGTGTGGAAATACTTTGTCAGTCCGTGCTTGTCCCTACCCTAGCTAGCCTTTATCTTTAGTCTGTTTAAAAGCGCTATCCTTTAGTTTCCTCATCCCCAAACATCCGCATACCCAGACTTCCTTCTGAGTGTCTGGTTTTTCCTTAAATGTCAAACAAGAAATATTAGTAGGAAAGGAATTCCTCTAAGCAGGAATGTGCTGGGAAATGTCATGAGTAGTGAATGGTTCAGGGAAGACAGCGGGTCCCTCTCCTCCCCTAATACCAGATCTAAAAGAAAAGTAGACCCAACTTAGAATCAGTGAATCCATTTCACATAAATCAGAGGGAAAAGGCTGTGTGATTGCATTTTTGCAGGAAGAAGGAAAAGGAAGAGTTACACACACTCAAGTAGATCCTTCTTCCCTTTTCTGGTTTAACGTGGAAATAAAAAAATCAGACTTCTTTCACCTCATTTTACAAATCAGAAAATACCTAACAGCGAATTCACCAAGTCACTGTAAATATATCTGACCAGTACTTGGTGTGCTCATGAGTCCAGCCATCCACCCATTCTGCAAAGAAGCACCCACTGCGCATCAAGCACTAGCCTGGACCCTCAGTGTGCCCTGTTGTCTTAGGTCTGAAAGACAGCATCATCCAAGCTTGACTTGATCTCTGAAAGCTCACGTAGTTCACATTTGATTCAGCCAACTTTCTCCCTGTACTGACTACGCTAGGACCCGGTAGATAAGTACATCTAAGCAAGTGGAAGTTACAGATCCACCTCAGCCTCTTTCACAGGCAGCCAAACCCAGCACCGTTCATGTCCTGTCCCTTTGCTGTGCATCACCACTGGGCAACAGCTGCATTTAACGGGCAGTGTGTGTGTGATGAGGAGGGAGGCCACTGAGGGGCAGTGCTCATAGGTTTGTGAAGCACCACTGAACACAATGAGAAAATTCTTAGTCTTGCGACAGAACTGGTCCCCACATTGTCACCTTCATATTGCTTTTTCTTGATTTTCCACAGCCAATCTTTTTCTGAATTCTAGAAATGTTGTTCCAGACCACCCGAGCCCTCGACAACCTGATGCCTGTGTGTAGTGTTTTTCAGTAAACTCCCTGTTTGTGTCAATAAACTGTCACTGAGAACCATGCTTGCCTGTTCATACTCTGTGTGTCTGCTACACAGACCATGGCTTCCCCTGCCACCCCAACCTGTATCAATCCCTATACTCAAGGAGTGGCTATGTTCCCAGAGAATGGAGAACATATTTAACAGTCTAGAGGTAAGCATATGCCATGTGTGATCTAGCCTCTCCTCTCTCTCCTTTCTTCTTCTACCCAAATACAAATTCAAGAGTCACTTGTGTTCTTACAAGTTCAGAACCCAACGCTGGGCACGTTACTGCAAAGAAGACCTAATGAAGGGAGACACCCCTGGCTCTCAGTTCTACCAGTTTAGGCAACATATGGCAATAAGCCAAAGCTATCTCCCAGTGTCCGTCTTCCTGGATATTACAAGGGACAGGTGAAAATTGAAGAATTGTCATTGGATTCACAGTACCACAATCTCCTGTAATAAGCAGTACTGGTTAATATTAATAATGACATTCAAAAATCATCTTAGGGGCTGGCGCTGTGGCACAGTGGGTAAAGCTGCCGCCTGCAGTGCCACTGGCATCCCATATGGGCGCCGGTTCGAGTCCCGGCTGCTCCTCTTTGGATCCAGCTCTCTGCTATGGCCTGGGAAAGCAGTAGAAGATGGCCCAAGGACTTGGGCCCCTGCACCCATGTGGGAGACCTAGAAGAAGCTCCTGCTCCTGGCTTCGGATCGGCACAACTCTGGTGGTTGCAGCCAACTGGGGAGTGAACCAGCAAATGAAGACCTCTCTCTCTCTCTCTGCCTCTCCTTCTCTCTGTGTGTAACTCTGACTTTCAAATAAATAAATAAATAAATCTTTTTTTTTAAAAAGCCTGTGAAAAACACAGGGTGGAAAAAATTTTTTTAAATCATCCTAGTATAATACTAGCAGCTATAATACTAAGATATATGAAGGTACTTCAAATAGTTCCTGGATGGGCACACATTTAGCATAGTGACTAAGATATCTCCATCCCGTACTGGAGTGCTTGGGTTCAAGTCCCAGCTTCATTGCCAATTCCAGCTTTTTGCTAATGCACACCATGGGAGGGGGCAGGTAATGGCTCAAGTAGTTGGTCCCTACCACCCATGTGAGAGACCTGCATTGAGTTCCAGGCTCCAGGCTTCAGCCTGACCCAGCCCTGGCTGCATGTGAGGAGTGAGCCACTGTATGGCTGATTGATTTCCTTCTCTCTGCATTTGCCTTTTAAATAAATGAACATTTTCTAAAGTTCATGGAAAATGAAACGAAAAGGTAAGTTCTTTTGGTGCAAAAAACTAATTAAAATCCATGCATAATTTTTTTTCATAATTTGCATTCCTAGGAACTTCTTAAGAGCTCATGTACATATACTTTAAAAAAACAAACACTGAGTCCTGGGGTGTCAAATGATCCCCTGGTCACATAGCCAGGTAACAACAGCGCAGCAGTCCCATGTACAGGTCTGCCTGATTCATAACTTCCTATCTGCCCCACTGGCTCAGGCTGCTCCCCCACCTCGGAAAGGAATGGCAGGAGTATGTGTACAAACATGCCTGACGTAGTGCGTGGTACTTTCCAGGCACATATCTGGGACGACCAGAAACTTCTAGGACAGTGAGTGCTGATGAACCAAGCAATAAACACACACACCATTTATTGTTTGTAGTTCAATACTTTTTTCTTTTAATTCATACTGTACTTCCATGGCTCTAGCTACTTTACATTAAAGATTTGGCTGGGTAGCCTTGTAGGTTTCTAGGTACTAGCAATAAGTTTTCAGACCTTGCGCACAGCGCCAGGCAAAGTACAGTTAAAGATCCAAATACCGACGGCCAGACAACTCAACTGCAATCAACCTGTGTTCTCTCCCCTTAGTGGCCCAGTGCAAGTGTCGGGGGTTCCTCCCTCTGCCTCACCCCACTCCACCCCATGTCAGGATTATCCAGTGGCCACTATGCCCTCTGATCCATCTCTGCCCACCTTGGAGTCTAGGTTGAGGTGGGGGGGTTGGAAAAGCACCATGGGTTTGGGAAGATGGTCTGGTCCATGCAGAGAGTGGTCTGGCCCTAGAGTGCAGGGTAGGGAGATGTGGGGAGCCACCCACTCCTGTTGGCAAAAATGGTTGCTTTTCCTACGCAGTCTGAGCACGCAGCACCCAAGCCCAGGGCCAACTCTCCAGACAGAGCCAGTTGTCCTGCCTGGAGCAGAGGCCACCCTTTTGCTTCTGCAGTGTCTTGTGTTGAGAGAAGCAAGGAGGGCCAAGGGGCAGAGATGGCAATGTCCTGTAAGCCTTCACATGTTGGGGAGATCGTCTGGCATCCACTCCTCTTGGCAGGCGAGGTGCATTCTCACCAGCAGCCAAGGCTCCAGTCCGGGCTCCCAGGCCTGCTGAGGACCTCGAGTCACAAGACCCCTGAGCTGTCACACAGAACATCGAAACAGGGAGCTGGCTGGGCCTGTCACAGCCAAGGCCGAAGCAGGAGTGAGGTAACAAGGCTGGGCAGAGAGGTGGGAAGGGGAGCTCTCTACACCATGTGCACATCAGGACTGCAGGTGCAGTAAGAGATGGCCTTCCAGAAACACACTCCTCTGGGAGCCAAAACATCTTCTGGAAGAAAGCACAGAGGTGGAGGAGTTTGGGGCCAGCCTGCGGGAGGTTGGGGATGAGGGTCAAGGATGTCCAGGAAGGGAAGGGATGATTGTCCCACAGCCTAGAGACGAGGGGGTAGGATTGGGGAGGGTCAGGAAGACAGGTTCTTGAGATTCCTGCAGGAATGGGCAGGTGAGATCTGGGGGTACAGGGAGGAAAATTACAGCCCTGCCACCTGAGAGAAGAGAGGAGTGCTGTCTCCTGAGGGCCCCTGGGAGCAGTGGCTGGTTAGGCTACCCTACGGTGCCAACAAAGTGGAACAGCATGGCACAGAAAGGACACTTCTGCTAAGATTCCTCCCCTAGTTCATTCTCCAAGATCTCATCCTAGACATGGTACCTGCAAGTCAGTCCAAGCTTGGGGAGGCGACTGGGACAGCAAAGAACCCACTTGCCTAGCAACACGTTCCCCTTGGGGTCTCTCAGTCCTCCCCATTTCTTGCAACCCCAGGCTCTTCGAGTCAGTGCTCTAAGGCAACCCAAGGATTTCAGCCAAACCTCTGTGCTTCACACAAATCCCAAGAGGGTTTTGGTGGAGCCCCAGGAGAAGTGCTAGGAGCTCAAATGACTTCTCTCTACTGTGCCCGCTGTCAGTGGGGAGGGACGGGTATGTGAAAGGCTTCATGGAGCCTAGAGATACAAGACGAGCTCAACCCAAAGGAGTGCTCGTCTTACCACTGTCCTCCTCCTAGCTTAGAGAAAGGCCAAGGGGCCCCTTCCCAAACTAAGACTAGGCCAAAGAATAAAGAAACACGCTCCCAGATTAACACTGGGCAAGAAGCAAGCTTGATCGCTCTGCTGCTGGGCCTGCCTAGTCCTCTTAGCCCCCAAGAAGAAAGCTTAACTATCTTGGATTTCCTAGGGACCCACACTCTGCCCTGCCTCCTACCGGATACTAGGGAAGCTCTGGCCCAGAAGGCTTGCTCCCTCCTGGCAGGATACCACCGAAGTCTAACAATCCTGAGATCACCCAGTCTCTAGCCTAACCTCCAATACAACGCCAAACCCAGAGCCTACCTAAAAGATCATTTAACACAGGAGGATCCGAGGCCCAGAGACGGGCAGTGACTTGTCCAAGACCACAGAGCTACTCAATGGCAGAGTCTCAGTCCAGTCATCCACGGGAATCTTCAGATTACTGGTCCTCTACCTCGTCTCAAGGAGGTGCATGGGAATATAAGAGCATTGCAGACATGGCTGGCTTTTCTGAGTCCAACTTTGTCAATCCCCCTCTACAGTTAAGTGGGAGTGGAAGATTGGACCCTGTAAGTGCTCGCCTGGTTAGAAAACCTGCCAAGTCTACACAATTGAGCACTAGCTCTCAAATGTTCTACTACATGAATCCTCTTAGAAAGACTCCTGTGTGAGCCCAGCGTTCTTATGAAAACAAAACTCCAAAAAAGCACTGGCTGGAAGAAGTGAACACAACAAGCGGCGGTTCTGCCACCCTCCGGCAGACACTTACCAGCCAGGCTACTGGCCAGGAGTTACCCTGCCGTCCTTTTATTCCACTCCAGGCTTATCTCCAGCAGGAAAAGATTACATCTGGGACGGAATGCAGTTGTTGGTTTCTTCTGGTTTGAGAGTCAAAAAATTCTTAGAACCGAGTGGGCCCCATAAGAGATGCTTGGTTCTTTGTGGGCATTCTCCATGGATATATGCTGTCTCCTGGGCTCAGATCGGCTGGAAAAGGAAGGCTCCTTATGCACAACTCAGATGGTCCTAAAGGTGACACACCACAGTGCAACTCTCTGTGGCTGGGGCTGCTTTCCCCATTGTACTACTCCCAGCACAGAATACTTTTTAAGTCATCCCAGAGGTCCCACAGCAACCTTAATAAGTAAATAACTTAAGTAAAGCATCACGTAGGAAATAAATTTGAGAATTCACAGGTTCTGCCTTCACAAAGTTTCTGGGAGTCACGTGGCTTGCAGTTCCTCCAAAGGGGGAATTCCTAGCAGCTGGCACCACTCTTCCCTCTCTGGATCCTGAGACTTGACCCTCACCAGTGTCTCCAGCTCCAAGTCCTGGATGAGAACGGAGTGGCGAGCGGCTTGTCCGCACCTTTCCCAAGGATGACAGAGAACACCCTCTCCTCCTCTCTCCTTGCCTAGGGGAGAGACCTCAATTCCAGTTGACCTCATCATTGTCCTCCCTTGGAGGATGACCTAGGCATGATGATTCTGCCCTCAGGAGACACCAAGGCCTTTTTCTTAGATAGACTGACAAGTCAAAAGTTTCCTTTTTCCTTTTTTTTTTTTTTGCCAGAGTGGGATGTTCAGGCCATTCTAACAGAAAATGTCATTTTCTCCTTGGAGTAAATCAGTGAAAAAAAAAAGCCAAGCAAGCAAAAAAATAAGTAAGAACCTTCCCTCGTTTGTGCTTATTTGCTGAGACATCTGGGGTCCTGGGGTCTCTTCTGCCTCTTGCATTAAGAAACCCGGGAGAAGAACCAGCAATCTGAAAGGGTTCTCCTAGCCAAATTACCTTTGATTCTTTCCTCATTAAGAATCTCCACAAACTCTGCCAAGGGCTGGCAGGACTCCCCAGGCCGTAATACGGAGAAACAACAGCTAGCGGACGAAGGAAGATGAACGTGCCCAGGAAGGCTCCGCGTGATCAGACAAGTGGCATGGCTCCCAGCAGGCCAACTAGGAAAAGGCCCTGAGGGGCTTATTCTCCTAACGCAGCATCTGCCTTCCACCCTGTGCTCTCACATCCGTCTGGGGCCAGACACCAGGGAAGGATCTGCACCCTCCACCACCAGGACCCCCACTCCCAAGTCTTGAGAAACTCAGGATTCAGAGCAGCCCCCTGAGGGCAGACAGCCCATCTGGTCTTTTCCTGCCCAAACACATGCACCTTTGCCAAAACCCATCCATTGAGGGTCTTCCATGCCAGCGCAAAGCGTCTCAGAAGGTTGACTCCACCATCGGAAGTTGTTTCTTTACCAAGCGGAAGCGACACAGGCAACCTCCTGCACAACCTGGCTACTGGTGCTCACTGCTCACAGTGTCTGTGGACAAACCCTGCAACCCACATGCTACAGCATTCTCTCCTTTTCTCTCTCCTCAAACCCTGGAGCGCCTCAGACACCCTGATTCATCCTGGAAATCACACTCACGGCTCAAAGCGAAGGAATCTCAGCCACAGACCTGACTTGTTCATAACCACTAACAAGAGGTTTAACAAGGTCAAATGTGCTCCACCCTGGCTAATAAACAATGTGCTCTTAGGGCACAGAGAAACAATAGGACTTTAGGCACTAAAAAGTGACACTTCTCCCAGATCCAGCCTGGGAGAAGACCAGGGAGAAAGGGGGTGGGAAGGTCAGGAATTGCCAGCCCTTAATGGGTCCACACCCTACACAGGTTGGAGGAAGGCGCAGGGGTGATTGAGGAAAAATGCCCTTCAGAACATGAGACCACAGGAGCCTACAGCTCCAAAATCCAGCCCCACAAAGGCAGCCTTGCTAGTTTTTCTAACAGCCCTCTCCATCTGGCTCTTAGCGTTTGGTCTGTATGTGTGGGCGGCCTCTCGTGGGAGAGTTTAGACTGGGCTCCCGCCCTTGAATGCTTCCGTGTTCCCAAGAGAACGCCTGGGGAGGCGTGGGGTAGGGAAGAAAAGATTCTCTTTTATTTTGGAAACAAATCAAAAGGGGATTAGGGAATGAAGCACCTTAAGCAATGCCCCCTTGAGATTTCAAGACCCTAGGGTCTTCACAGGCATAACTTTGGCTCAACAACATTTCCCTTCTATGAGCCAAGAATGGCCAGCAAGGGAAGGGGAGGGGAGCGGAGGGTGGGAGGAGGAGGATCAGGGGAGGTCGGTGCTGAGAGGTGGTCCCTGCCCTCCTCGGCCCCTCCATCAAAGGAAAACGCTGCTCCAGCCGGCACAGGGGCGGGAGGGCCCGCTCCTTCTCCCTGGTACATAGGCGTTATCTCTTTTTAAAATCTGTATATAATATATATATATTTATATTCTGTATATATATATATTTATATATATATTTATACGGTCTATGTACATGTATTGCACAGGCCTCTCGCAGCCACCCCCGTCCCTGCCTTGTCAGTGATAGCGGTTCCTCTTCTCTTCGCTTTCGGATGTGTAGTCACGTGACCTGATGCCATTCTGAAGATTGATGAGTGAGTCCTTCATCTGCAAGACAGGGAACCCCACACCAGGTCCAGATCTGTGCTCTCAGTGGGTTTTTGCACGCAGCAGCACCTGCCACACTCAACCCCATCCCCACCTCTGACCACCCCACAGAGCAGTGGTTTACAGGGGTCACAGTCTCAGATGGAAAGGGGACAGCCAGTCTAACACTGGAAACGCCCACCAGCCCCAGGAAGGCTCAAGGTGTCCCATGACATGTGACCCCTGTTACCACTGAATTCAGACATCGCTCTCCGCATACAATTGCTGTGAAGAGCCCTGCTATAGTGTGTCATCTACTTTATTTTCTATTCATTCCATGTGCTTTCCCATTGAGCTTCAACATACCCTACATGCCTGTCTCTGTACATGTTGCCATACTGTTCCCCCAACCTGGGAATCTTTCCACTCTTCCCTACTCCAATCTCACCTGTCTGTTAAGGCCTAGGACAAATCCAAACTTTTCTCTGGCTGACAATCATCTTTCCCTCTCCTGGCTGCTCATACACCACACACTAAGGGCTCTGGACTGCAGTTACCTGTAATTGCTTTGTTTCCTTTGTTGGGGAAGTTCACCCAAGGATACCAAGCAGAGAAGAGAGGAGGCATCTCATTGGTACCCATGTCAGTGAATTCCATAGGATGGAATCTAAATGAGGGCAGCTGCACTGGGAGAACCCTAAAATGGCCCATTAACCCATGCGAATATTGTCCCTGGGAAAGCTGCTCTGTGACAACACAACCACATCTCCTGGGTAAATCGTGAGTTCTGAGAACCTCTGTTCTCTCTGCCTACTCTACCACACTCTTTCTCTGGTTATTCTACATCCTGTGCTCAGCATCTCTGTTCCTTTGAACATCACTTGTAAAGGGGTTGAAATAAAATAACTCTCTTAACATCTGTAGGGTATAAAGCTGACAGCCCTAAGCCACAGCCTAGTGGGCCCAGCCTCAAACAGAATTTGAGAGTTGGAAGAGACCTCCAGGCCATCCACTCCAACTGCGCCTCCATTTAGTCCCTAAGCTCCGTATCTGTCATCATCTAGTCATCCCTTGATTGCTTTGGATCTTGGGATCTCAGTCCTTCAAAGTAACTCTCACATGGCTGAACAGCTCTGAACATAGGACTCCTTATTTGATGAATGAAAACTTGAATTCTCTATGACTACTAATCCTCATTCAGTCCTCTGGAGTTTACGATACGTCCCACCCTTCTGTATCTGCTGGCCTGGATGTCTGCCCACCATTCTGTTCCCCTCAGCCCAGGTTCCATTCCCGGGGCACACCCTTAATTCTATCAATGCCTCCTGCTCCAACATGCTTTCCAAACTTCTCACTGCACTGTTTACCCATGTGTGATTTGGGGGAAAACCTGCCTTCCTTAATCATGGCTCCCAAGTCAAACATGATACAACCTCTATTTTATAAGTGAGGAAACTGAAGTTCACTTATGTTAAATCCCATGCTCAAGTTACCAGCAAGACTGGGACTACTCCATCTCAAGTCTGGCTGACCACAAAGCATCAAAGGACACAGCCTTGGAGTACAAGTCACAAATCACAAATCTGGGGCCTGTCATCTTCCTAATTCTCTTGCATAAAAAAAGTACATGCCTGCTGTCATGGCAACCATGGGGGCCACTTTTTATAAGACAGTTACATTTTTCTGGAGGGGAAAAGGGAACTCCCTCCCACTCAAGGAACCTAAGCTCATGATTGATTTTGCTCCAAGACGATTTTCTTAAATAGGAGGATCTATTTTTTTGGAAGAATATAAGCAGTTGTACTACAATGGTGACATGAAATGGAGACACAGTACAGTCACCCCAGCCTGTCGGCAGTGCCTCTGACGTCAGGCTGCAGGGTGGGTGCCTTTGAGGGCAGTGGGAAGGGATGGTCTACATCAAAAGGAATTTGAAAGACGGGCCTTCCCGGAAGACAGCTCTGTAACAGTGTGGGGATAACAGCCTACAAGATAGCTATGGGTCTCTCTGTCACTCTCTGTCTCTCTCTCACACACACATACACACGAGTTCTTTCTCTTTCTAACACACAGCTTTCCTACTGGAAACCTAGTGTGTTATTTTACTACTATTATTTTGGGAAATGCACCTCCATTTCTAATAGCCCATTCAGAAATGGCTTTATAATTCGAAGCAGGGACGGCCTGGGAGAATAAACAGGAAGAGGCCTGGAGGGTAGTGATGGGGGGTGGCCTTTCTGGAAGCATACGGGAAGCAGTTCTGTCTCCCAAAGGCGAGGGAGGTGAGAAGGGGGGCAGCTCACCTGATCAAGGAGCATCACTGATGATTTGATGATCTCTCTCCATTTCTGGAGCTCAGTATCGTGGTACTTTTGTTGGGACTCTAAAAGCTGGGCCCATTCTGTCTGAGACTGGGGTAACCTGTGGGGCAGAAGAAGGGGCACCCCAGCAGCTGGAGTTATGCTCAGCGGACTGTCTTGTGCTCCCAGACCCCTAAAGGACAGAGAGTCACATCAGAGTGCTGTGTCCTCTGCCCACTGCCCCCTCGGTCCCCTGGGCCCCACATCAGACGTGGTCTGACCCCCCCAAGGTGCTCCCCTGGACAAGGGCAGTGGGGCAATCCCAAGGAGACTGGGAGGCAGGAGCCAGGGCACAGCACTGGGAAGGGGCAGACGTGGGGACAATGGGATGAGGCCAGGATTACCTTTCTTGGAGCCTCAGACCCTGCCAGGCAGTGAGAGTCTGGGTGGTGTATTCCAGCATCCAGAGCTTGTAGAAGAGCATCATGTTAAGGACGACCAGCAGCACCAGACTAAGAGGGAGACACGAAGGGGAGAGCAACACAATGAGATGGACTCTGAGCCAGGGATCTCCCTGCCCCCAAGTCTGCCGTCCCTGACCGCCGGGCCATCGAAAGCAGTGCAGTGGGTGAGTGGGTGAGCAGGAGGGATGCAGTGAGGGGTGAGAGAGAGAAGCATCTAATCTGCAGGGCCAGGACACAGCCAGAGAGCCAGGGTGAGCGAGCGAGTTGGGGTGAAAGCAGGGAGGCATTGGGAAGGAGAGACATACATTTACCCAGGGTCTGGGTGCCTGGGAGAAGAGAGGTAAGGTGGAAGGGGAAAAAGGAGTAATCATAGAGCCAGTACCTGAAACAGATCCTAATGGAGCAGGAGAGAAAAATGGGGAAGAGACAGAGATTAGAAACAGACGAGTGAGGGGAAGCGGAAAACTGCACTTGACCTGAGCCAGAGAGCAAGTGCGCATGTGTACAAGGAAGAAATACTGGAAGCAAAGCCACAGTGAGGAGACGCAGGGTGAAAGGGGCAAGAGAAAGCCACTGTATTTGGCCCTCCGTGTCCCTGGTGTCCACATACTCAGCCAACTGTGGATCGAAAGTGTTTGGGCAAACAGGACTGTATCTGTACTGAATGAACATACCCAGACTTTTATTTCCTTGTCATTACTCCTTATACAACATAGCATAACATCTATTTGCATAATGTTTCTGTTAGATTAGGTATTATAAGTAACCTATAGAAGGTTTGAAGTATATGAGAGGATATATATATGGGTTATACGCAAATACTATGCCAGTTTTATCAGGGGCTTGAGCGTTGGTGGATTTTGGTATCCATGGATACTGAGGGATGACTATTTCATGGGTGCTAAATTGAGAAGGAATTCGTCCTATCAACCCAGCTTTAGAACAAACTGAATGGTCAAAGTGAAGAAGAATTATGGTGGGATCCCCCAGCTCTGCCCCGATGCCTCACAGAGGTTAGCAGACCTCCAAAAGGCTAAAGTGTCCCCTCCCTGCACCTGCTACCATCCAGCAGGTGGCTGGATAAATAGTTCAGGTGGCCCAGAGTCCAGACCCAAACTGGAGAGCGACAAGAAGGAGGCAAAGAGGATGCAGGCGCTGGAGGACCCAGTGGGGAACAGAGAGCTGCAGGGAGGCTGTGGAAATGCTCTTCTCTCAGCCTCGGTGGCTGCCTGAAGATTCCTCCACGACGGAGCTCCTGGGTGGAGAGGTGGAGACACGGGCAGAGAGGCTCCAGAGACGCACCAGTGGGTGTAAATCCCGGCTCAGCACTCAGACTTCTCAGCTTCTGATCAATCTCCCAGCTTCTCTAAAAGTCAGCTTTCCTCACCAAGGGACAACAATCGCTGCCCTACTGGAGACGCCATGGGGGTTAAAGGGAGGTCCAGAGCACTTCAAAAAGTGCATGGAAACCGAATCTTGAAAAATCTCTGCAAGCATCTCAAAAATTTCTGCACCCAAATACTGATTTTGTAATCGCATTTCTCCAGCCACTTTTTGAGGTGCTGGTGTACATAAAACACCCTGGGCCTCCCCCAAGGGGTGGTTCTGACCATGAGAGGTGAAGAAGCAGATACTCAGGAAAAAAGATGGAAACAGTGGGCAGATAAAACAAACAGGTAGAAAAAAGACAAGCCACGGAAGACAGGCTTACACTAGGCCTTGCACTTTTCAAAGTGCCTGCGTGAGAGTGGTACTGGGTTTCTCATCCATGTTTTGGGCTCTAAGGAAGGTAGTCTTTCTTTTTTTATTTTTTAATTTTTTTTGACGGGCAGAGTGGATAGTGAGAGAGAGAGACAGAGAGAAAGGTCTTCCTTTGCCGTTCGTTCACCCTCCAATGGCCGCCGCGGCTGGTGCGCTGCGGCCGGCGCACCGCGCTGATCCGATGGCAGGAGCCAGGTACTTATCCTGGTCTCCCATGGGGTGCAGGGCCCAAACACTTGGGCCATCCTCCACTGCACTCCCGGGCCACAGCAGAGAGCTGGCCTGGAAGAGGGGCAACCGGGACTAGAACCGCCCCGACCGGGACTAGAACCCGGTATGCTGGCGCCGCAAGGCAGAGGATTAGCCTAGTGAGCCGCGGCGCCGGCTGGAAGGTAGTCTTTCTTAAGCTTGCAGCTGCAAATCCCTGGGGCGACTCAGCTGTTTGGCAGAACTTGTAATTCTGTGCTGAATTTCAGTGACTAAAGGTTCCACCGCATCAGCACATACAGGACGCACTGCACTCCCACCTCCACAGCGTGCTGCACACCATCGTAGTGCCTGTGCTGGGTTTGTGTCTGAGATCTCATCTGTGCCAACTGAAGGTCAAGGGGCACCCCGGGGAATCTGAGTGAAGGCTCCACTGTGGTCTAAACAAAGAGGGGTAGGAGGCTGAGTCACTGCACGGCAGATATATGGTGGCGGGAGCCTGCCAGACAACAGGGCCAGATGGGTCACACCAGTCTCTTGCTCATGCAGGCTATTGGCACACCCTCGGCACAGATCCTGTTGTATGGAACTTAGAGGTCTGAATTCACTGAGGCTCTAGTTTTCAATTTACCAAAATCCATTAAATAGAACAGTGGCATGAATTACACTGAGCTGATGTTGCTTAACGTGAATTTTCTGTGTTACAGGGGTCTTTGTATTTAATTTTGTCATAATAACTTGGCTTCTTGTGCTGAGGTCAGAAAGACTTTGCATCTATTTTACTTTGGGTCTTATTCCTACATGGGGTCCCCGGAGGTCATCCTTGGCCCAGTCTCATCACACTCTACACTCTCCAGGGATGGGTAGTCTCCTTCACACCCGTGGCACTAGTGCTACAGATAATTAATCCATGACTAAAGCCCACGCTTGTCTCCTAAATGCCAGGTCCACATGGACAAACAGGTGTGACCTGCTCCGAGATCACCCGTGACACAGCCAGGGCTGACAGCCTTCTCTGACAACTTCTGCTGAATTCCACACTCCTGCTCATGACACACCATCGACGGTCCCTCGAATCAGAAGCCCACCTTCCCTGGCTTCACTTAACTACATACTGACCATATCCTACCCTTCCAAGATCAGCGGCAGTCCCTCCACCCAGTCTCCTCCACTGTCGCTAGATCGCTGCAGTGCGGAGCCACCGATGTCCCTGCTCCAGTCTTTTCTTATCCAATCCATTCCCCATATGGCCATCAGAGTGACTTTGTATTTTAAAGCAAATCTGTCACTCCTGGCTTCCTTAGGTTCCTGTGCCCACCACATCTGGGCAGCTGCCATGCCTTCCTCCACCCAAGCCTACTCCTACAATCTCACAGCACACTGTATCCAAAAAAAGGGGCTGAAGCAAGCAGAAGAGCTGTTCTTAGTGGTCCCATCTGCTTCCTCCTCAAAATGGTTCAGGAAGGTCCTGGGCAGGAGACAGCATGGACTTGCATTTCAAAGAGCAAGCTGTGGGGCCGGTGCTGTGGCGTAGCAGGTAAAGCCTCCACCTGCAGCACTGGCATCCCATATGGGCACAGGTTTGAGTCCTGGCTGCACCATTTCTGATCCAGCTCTCTGCTATGGCCTGGGAAAGCTTGGGCCCCTGCACCCATGTGGGAGACCTGGAATAATCTCCTGGCTCCTGGCTTTAGATGGGCACAGCTCCAGCCACTGATGCCATTTAGGGAGTGAACCAGCAGAAGAGGACCTTTCTCTCTGACTCTCCCTCTCACTATCTTTAACTCTACCTCTCAAATAAATAAATAAAATCTTTTTTTTTTTTTTTTAAAGAACAAGCTGTGTTTTCCTACCTTACGCCTTTGTTTCCTCTCTCCCTAGCCCAGCATCTTTCTATGAAAGTTATGGAGAGACAGGCACTGTGGTGTAACAGGTTAAGCCACCACCTGCAGTACCAGCATCCCATATGGGCACTGGTTCAAGCCCCAGCTGCTCCACTTCTGATCCAGCTCCCTGCTAATGTGCCTGAGAAAGCAGCAGAGGATGGCACAAGTGCTTGAGCCCCTGCACCCATGTGGGAGACCTGAAAGAAGCTTTTGGCTCCTGGCTTCAGCCTGGGCCAGCGCTGGCTGTTGCAGCCATTAGGGGAATGAACCTGTGGATAACAGAAGATCCTCTCTCTCGCTCGGCTCTCCCTGTCTCTGTGACTCTGCCTTTCAAATAAAAAAAATCTTAGGGGAAAAAAAGAATGTTATGGAGACTGCTGTGTATAATATTAGGGCAATTATCAACTGTCTACATGAGACGCAGCCCTATAATGTACTCCTTGATTTGTCTCCCTGTCATCCCAAAGTGCAGGCTCCATGAGTGCACGGTCCTCGTGCCTGGCAGGGAGGACACCACGGTCTCTCACAATAGAACAGCTGAGCTGACTCCTGAAATGCTCTGTGGCATTTCTATGTTAGCATTTATCCAACCGTGTGGGAACTGTGCATGTGCTGTCTGTCTCATCCATTTGAGTTCGAAGGGCATACATATAGCCTGAAGCGTTTTCTTCTGAAGCCCTAGCATATGCTAAATGTTGAAGAAAACAGAGAAAAAGAAGCAAAGAGAAAAGAAAAGACAGAATGACCAATCCAGACAGAGAATATCAGAAGACCAGAGGACAGAGAAAAAAAAAAAAAACAAAGAGTAGGGATACTCGTATGTTTTGAGAGATGGGGGATGAAGCACCAGGCAGAAAGAGGAAGGTGGGGTGGGGGGCAGGGTCGGAGGAGAGCTTAGAGTCCCTTACACACAGCTGATAACCAGCAGCAGCTTGGACACGCTCTGCAGGTGGAAGCCATTGGGAGTGTCCTCGGGGATATGCCGAGTCTGCGTGGAACCTGCGTGAGAACAAAGAGGCTGTCACCAGCATAACCCACAAGTTCCCCAGCTGCCAACATGAACGGCAGGAAATGACAGAGAACTGGCCATGGTGCTGCCATGGCAACCACATGATAGGCATCTCCGCCCCCCATCCACACGATAAGCTTCTCAAGGGCAAGGTCATGGCTTGGGTTGGGCGATCCCTGAACAAATGAGACAATCAACAGATCTAAGCAGCTAGCACATACAGGTGTGGGAAGCAACACGGGGCCAGGACTATAACCAGCACAGCTTCCAGCTCTGGCTGCAACCGTAATCAGCTACCTGTGAGCTCTGGTTGAGGGGGTGGAAGAGGAACACGGAAGACTGGTTCTCTCGTCCTCTTCTGCCTCCTCCCCTCTCCCCGTCAGCTCCCCACAGGGATGTGTAGAGCACAGTTTAAAAACCAATGCACACAGTGGTCTAAAGCCCAAGGTTTCCAGGCTTGAGCAAGAACCCAAGTGTGTGAACGACTGGCTGGGAAGAGGAAGACACATAACGGGAGAGGGCAGACCCCTGCACCCATGGGGGTCAAGTGAGGGGTGCCCTGGACTCCCTGATCTTTGTGTTATGTCCTCTCGGCAAACAGCCCCAACCCCCGCCACCCATCCCCGCCTGGCACACACCTGCCACGTGCTTGATCCTGTGGCCCACATCTTCATCAGTGGGCGTGGTGACGGGGCTCATCACCTCTTCCAGGTGAGGCACCCGCAGGTGGGCGTGGGGACGCTTCCTCCTCCGCACTGTCGGCGGCTTGCTGGCTTTCTCTTTGGGAGACTGTCTGTGCATCTCAGCCAGGTAGGTGCTCTCCGTTTTGGTCAGTTCGCTCTCTGCCAAGGACCACAGGGCTACATCAGAAGCCATCCTCCCATTCCTTCAACCCAAAGGACTGTCTTCTAGAAGAAACTCTTTAGGGGAGCCTTGTTCCCATACAGTACCCTGGGAAGTTGGGCAGGGGGGCAGAGGACACTCAGGGATGCTCAGGAGCTTCAGGGAGTACTTCTGGGACCTAGCCCCACCGAAACCCCCTCCTCTGGGATGTTTAACACTGGGCAAGGCTCCATGGTCCCAACATCTGCATCCCTGTGCATACAAGTGGACGTATCATTCACTTCCTAAGTAGATGCATTAAGAGACTATTTGCCAAGCCTTCTCAGAACAGAGTTAGCACCAGTATTGCAAGAGCTGTGGCTCATTTTGTTTGGGAGGAAGGTATCACACAGGTGGCTTAATGGTCTCATAAAAATTACAGGTAAAAATGGTCTCATAAAAATTACATGTCCACAAAAATGCCAAATTTGATCTCCATTTTTGGAGTAGATTTAGGGATCCCATAAAACCCCTTCACTGTGTCAATCTGAACCCTGATTCTCTGTCTCCCTTCCCCCAAGCGGTGGCAGCTACACAGCTCAGCAGCAACGACCGTGGCACCTACCTAAATGGCGAAAGTAGTCCTCCAGCCCACTCCAGAAGTTCTTCTCGATGAAGGTTTTCACCAAGCCCCAGGGCTGTTTTCGGTAGCGCAGCTCTGTGGAGACCCTGAAGAGCAAGCCAGAAATAAGATCGGTCACTCCTGGGTGGGCTCTCCTCTGCTGGCAAAAGGGAAGTTCAGGTTCAAGGCCAAAGGAGCTTCACACGGTACCATCCTTTCCAAAACGTTATCTGCTCTCCCTGATCACACTCCTGAGGATGGTGGAGCTATCGGGTTTATCCCCACCTTACAGATGACAAAACTGAGGTTTAGCTATTTAAAGAAAACAAAAGCTGCTGACTCCAAGCACAGAATTCTTTCATGACCTCATACCGCACCTCCCAGTGGGTGGACGTCCAGTCAGGCAAGGGAAGGCCCAGACTGGGGTTCAAGCCCTCTACTTCCAAGACAGGCTCTGGGGTTTCATCACTCCCCACAAAGAGTAACTTCAGCCACCTGCGCTGGCTCCTGCCACTGCCCTGCCCTCAAGACCTGGTCAGCTCTGCTCCAGGTACTGTCTCCTCCCAATCACTGCTCACCCCACTGCCCCTCTTTCCTGCGGTATCGGCTCCATCCCTTCCCTTCCCTTCTCTTCCCTTCCTCCACCCTGGCCTCCTCCTTGGGTGCACGTGCACCTGCCAATACTCTCCTTGTTTATGCTCTGCAGGTTAAGGCTGTCTGCCCAGCCTCTCCTCCATCCACCAGAATGCTACCTGTACCCATGGCCTGCTGGTAGAAGGCCTTCACTTGCACCCCTCCCCTCCCCTGTGACCCAGCTGTTTACTGGATTGAGGGGAGACACTGCCCCGTAAAGGTCTATCAGAGGTCAATCAGCAGCTACCTCTGAGACTGCACAGAAGACACACAACTTCAACAGTCTGTGTGGAACCTGGGATTAGGAAACCTGGACACTGGGGGAAAGGACAGTAGGAACAGGCGAGAGAGCAGAGGAGGAAGGGAAATAAAAGGAAGGAGGAAGAGAAGGCAGGTGGAGGAGCACAGAAAGCAGCACAGAACCCCCACCCACTCCCCAAGAAAAACTAACAAGGAGATGAGAAAGACGCAGGCTGGACCGAGGGGCTGGCATTAGATACTCCCGAGTCCCAAGAGACCTCTGCGTAACCTTTGGCTAAGCTTCTAATTCTATCTGAACTGCAGGAACGAATTTCTGCCCCTTATAACCAAAATAACTTGCTCTAAGATACAGGTATGTTGCAATGGAGTACATCTTGTCTTTTCAGTTAGGCTAGAAGCTCTTCAAATGTCAGTCTAGATTTCTTCACTTTTATTTCTTTTAAATATTTTTTAAAAATTTGTTTTATTTAAAAGGCAGAGTTACAGAGAAAAAGGGAGAAAGAGACGAGACAGAGAGAGCAAGAGATCTTCCATTCATGGTTTATTCTCCAAATGGCTGCAGTGGCCTGGACTGGGCCAGAACAAAGCCAGAAGCCTGGAACTCCATTCAGTTCTCCCATGTGTGTGCAGGGGCCCAAGCAATGGTGCCATCTCTGGATGCTTTCCCAGGCCCATTAGCAGAGAGCTGGATTGGAAGCGGAATAGCCAGGACTCGAACCAGTGCCCACATGGGATGCCTGTGTCGCAGGTGGTGGCTCTACTGCTACACTGCAACACCAGCCCCTGTCTTCCTTTCAATGCACACCACAGTGCACAGAACTAATTATTCATTCTGTCCTCATCTTCTAGACTGTGACAAGGGCAGGTCCTGCCGCTGCATGCTGAGAACCAGGTGGAGAATGGAATGGGACTCCTGTCCTCCAGGAGCTTGCTGGCTAACAGGGGAGATGAACAGGAAGTCACAACGCACAGCAGAGAGAACGCAGGACTGCAGTTGGCCCTCCGTACCTGATGAATTCAATCCTTACTCATTACTCAATAAGAAAGTTGTGTCTGCACTGAACATGTACAGACATGATTTTCTTGTCATTATTCCCTAAACAATACAAGATAAAAAGTATATATGCGGGGGCCGGTGCTGTGGCGTAGCGGGTAAAGCCGCCACCTACAGTGCCGGCATCTCATATGGGCGCTGGTTCGAGACTCGGCTGCTCCACTTCTGATCCAGATCTCTGCTATGGCCTGGGAAAGCAGCAGAAGATGACCCAAGTCCTTGGGCCCCTGCACCCACGTGGGAGAACCGGGGGAAGCTCCCGGCTCCTGGCTTTGGATCGACACAGCTCCAGCGGTTGCGGCCAGTTGGGGAGTGAACCAGCGGATGGAAGACCTCTCTCTTTCTGGGTAACTCTGACTTTCAAATAAATAAATAAAAGAAATATATATGCAGCAGGCACTGCATCACAGCAGACTAAGCCACTGCTTGGGATGCCTGCAACCTATACTGGCATGCCTGGGTTCCAGCCCTCACTCCTGTGCTTCTGATCCAGCTTCCTTTTTACATATGCCGGGAGGCAGATGATGGCCCAAGTATTTGGGTTTCTGTCACCCATGTGGGATACACAGATGGAGGTCCTGGTCCTGGCTTTGGCCTGGCCTAGCTCTGGCTACTGTGGGCATTTGAGGAATGAGCCAGTGGGTGAGAGATCCCAGTATGTCTCTCTGTGGCTCTCTCCCTCCTTCTGTCACTTTGTGTTTCAAATAAAATTGAACCTTTATTTTAAAAAAAGGAACTATTTACATTGTATTAGGTATTATAAGTAATCTAGAGATGGTTTAAAGTTTATGGGAGGGGCTGGTGCTGTGGGTTAAGGCCCCAGCCTGCAGTGCCGGCATCCTACATGGGCACCGGTTCAGGTCCTGGCTGCTCCATTTCCAATCCAGCTCTCTTCTGCTAGGGCCTGGGAAAGCAGTAGAAGACGACCCAACTCCTTGGGCCCCTGCACCCACGTGGAAGATCTGGAAGAAGCTCCTGGCTCCTGATCAGCTCAGCTCTGGCCGTTGTGGTCATTTGGGGAGTGAACCAGCAAAATGGAAGAGTTCTCTCTCTCTCTCTCTCTGGCTCTGGCTCTGTCTCTCTCTGTGATTCTTTCAAATAGATTAAAAATAAATCTAAATAAATAAAGTTTACGGGAGAATGTGTGTGGGTCAAATGCAAACAGTGCATAAATAAGCAATTTGAGCAATGGTAGGTTTTGGTATGCACAGGGATCCTGGATCAGCCCCTCATGTATACAAACACATGACTACTTATGAGGGATGTGACTCGGCAAAGTTAATTAGCTTACATGAACCTCCGTTTTCTCTTCTGAAAAAATGAGGATAAACCCATCTCCCGGGAGCATTGCAAACATTCCAGAGATGCAGGTGAGGCACCTACACAGACTTTATAAGTCAGACAGTCCATAAACGTCTCCCTGAGAAGGCGGACAGAGTGGTAACAGGTGCACATGGAAGAGACAGTGATCAGCTCCATCAGGACAGGGAGGTGGCAGAATACAGAATGCGTCAGCAAGCAAAGGCACCCAACCAGCTCCCTGCTAAAGCACCTGGGAAAGCAGAAGATGCCAAGTGCGTGGGCCCCTGCACCCACACGGGAGACCAGCAAGAAGCTCCTGGCTTCGGATCAGTTCAGCCCCGGCCATTGTGGTCATGTGGGGAGTAAACCAGCAGATGGATGAATTCTTTCCCTGTCTCTCCCTCTCTCTATCTGTAACTCTGCCTCTCAAATAAACAAATCTTTAAAAGAAAAAAAAAGTTAAAAAATAAAAGAGCAAAGGGGTGCTCCCCTCCATAAGGACCCCGATCCATCCCCTCAGGCCCCCCATGCTCTGTACCGAAGCCGGCTCTTGTTGCGAGCCACACGGGTGAGTGTGTAGCGGTTGATGGTGTAGAAGTAGTCGTGGTACGGTACATCATGGGTGAGGACTTCGGCGTCGATCACGTAACATTCGCTCTCCTGGCTCGCCTTGTACATGGTCTGTGCGGGGGAAGAATGAAGCTGAAGCCATGCCCAGTGGAAGTCCTCCAGCTCCCCATCCCACCCCATGACTTCTGGCTTCTGGACAAAGACCCAGCAGGACCACTGCAAACGGTAGCATCTCAGCAAGCAAGACGCTAGTCTCTGCTCTACACACCTGCACTGGAAACGCCTTCCTGACCTCTGTCCTCCAGTGCACACGAGTCTCCCCCAGCTCACCTGGGTCTCCCTGACCGTGGCAGTTTTGGGAGCCAGAGGGTTGGTAAGGGTGATGGTGTAAAGAATCACGCGACTCTGGTTTCCATTCTCTTCCTTCTTCCACGGATGGAAGATGATGTCTGCGGGCAGAGACGCACCCCAGAATGAGGGCAGGAAAGCGGCATCCCCAGCCCACATCTCAGTTTCCCCTCCAAGTGAACGTCCCTTCCCTGGGCTGGCCACATGGAAGCCAATGGGAGCCCGAGGACCAGGGGAGGAGGAGGCCTGGGAGGAGCGGGAGTTGAAGCAGAAAGAGGCTCATTGTAGCATGGCCAAAATTCTACAGACGGCTCCAGAATGCTGATTGTTCCTGGGCTGGGGCAGGAGGTCTCGGGGCCACCTACGGGGGTGCTGGCAACACTGGAGTTACTGTGGCAAGGGCCTAGGATTCCTTGGGAACAAGTTCTCTCCCCTAAGGCCTGACCTTCTTTGCACTCACCATGCCCTCTCCCAGCACAGGGGCTCCATGATGCCCCAGTGCTTTCCTCAATGCCCTTTCCCATAGCAGTGCTGCAGCCCCTCCCATGGGAATGGCAGTGTGGAGGGGACAGATGGCAGCACAGAGTGTCTAAGCGTGAACCCCGAGCACCCTGGGTTTGAATCCTAGCTCTGTCCCTTCGAGGGTGTATGACGGTGATCAAGTAGTGAGAGCTCAAGCTTCCTCATCAGCCCTGGGGAATCACACAGCCTGCATACAAGGCAGCTGGACACACTGAATGAGATCACAGACCCTGCTTGGCATGGAGTCGGTGCCTCCCTGTGAGTGGGCGTTGCTGTCTTTCATTAGGCACCAAGCCCTGAGAGAGTGGAGGCCAGGCAGGTGCCAGTTTGGTGCACAGCGGGGCAAGCGTGACACTGCACCGCTGGGGGACACACAAGACAGGCAGGACCCCAAGGGGGCTCCGGCACCTACCATGGCAAGAAGATGGGTGCCTGGGCCAGCAGGTGGCTTGGGAAAAAAAGGACCCATGGGACGGGGCAGGAAGGGAAACGGAAGGGAGCAAACCGGGGATCAGAGAGGGCAGGGCGGGGAGTCACTCCCACAGAACAGACCGGAAAAGCGTCTCTGCTCCATGAAGTCCCGCAGGAAGGGCGAGGTGGTGAAGAGGAGGTCATAGAGCTTGTCCACGCTGAAGTTGAAGACTTCGTTCACGTACTGCCGGCCACTCAGGTCCTCATAGAAGGCCTGGACCTCACCTGCACGGAGGACAGGGAATTAGACAGTGACAGCAGAGGGAGGAGTTCCGGGGACGCCCCTTGGACTGGTGTCTCATGGTCATGGGCATGGTGCCAGGAGACGGGGAGGCTGTGCAGCAGGGTAGCCGGCTCACGGCCTCCACTGTTCATCTTTGCTTCCGTCTCCATCCTTCCCTGCGGTGCAAGCGTCCACCCTAGTTAGCACCATGTCCTCTCATCCTATACAGAGCATTGGGAAGCGGGCACTGTTTGCTGTTATGCTTTCAAATGCTCCTAATTTAGTTGCTCTTAGACCAACATTCAAGCAACTGAGGACTTCCAAAGGATGAGTCATGGAGACTCTTTAGGGTACTACACTCGACACAAGTGACATTGGAACCCAAGGCACAGGTACGTTCAAGGGCCACTGTTTACAAAAGAGCTTCTGAGGCTGGTCCATGGTCCCCTACTGCACCAGGCCTGCTCTCCCTTCCCAAGGCAGCTTATTTCATCTGCGACTTCAGTCCCCACCCCTTCTTTTAGAAGCTTATGATTACAGCTTTATTACAGCACAAGAAGAGAAATCAGGATGAGTCAAAGGAAGAGGCACACAGAGCAAGGTGCGGCGGGTGGAGGGAGGGGTGCGGAGGGGTTCCCAGATAAAGCTGCCTGCTTTCTCAGGGATGCTGCACCTACTCGGAACATGATTTTGTGACCCTGTGCAGACCACTGCCAATCAGGCGACGGCATGCACTTGCAATGTTTTGCATTTTCTATCTGCTACAGAAGGGTGTGTCTAAGGGTACAGATGAGTTGGTAAAGCCTTAGTATTTCCCCCCCAGCCCCTGGCATCTCATGGTCCCTAATTACTGCATCTGCATGGGCCAGGGAGGCTGACATTTGTGGCATCATTAGATCCTGAGAAGGCCAAGGAAGAAATCAGGAGCAGCTGCCACAGTTAGTGCCTGGGCCTGGGCATTAAATAGTCACGGTGGGAGGGACAGTCACATCTCAGAGTATGCGTACAGCACCACTAGAATTGGGCAGCACACTGCCCATGCAGTCATTCACCCTGGATCCTGGACAGGGGTGGTCAAAACAACTGAAGGTTAGAAAGCCATCAGAGGTGACCCCTGGGACTGTCCACAGATGAGCCAGAAAGCACTCTGCATCCACTCACGAGTGAGAACCCACCATCATTTCAGTGCAGGAAAATTAACAACCAATTTCAGGAATATTGAGACTGTGGCTTCTCTCCAGGCCGTGTACAGAGCAGCATATTTCTGAGGGTGGTCCTAGCAGCTGACCCCATGTAGGAATGCAGTAAGAAGCTATCCTCTGCTGGTGCTGTGGCATAGGAGGTAAAGCCACCGCCTGCAGTGCCCGATTCCCAAACAGGTGCCAGTTCGAGACCCGGCAGCACCACTTCTGATCCAGCTCTCTTCTGTGGCCTGGGAAAGCAGTAGAAGATGGCCCAAGCACTTGGGCCCCTGCACCTATGTGGGAGACCTGGAGGAAGCTCCTGGCACAGCTCCAGCCATTGCAGCCATTTGGAGAGTGAACCAGTGGACAGAAGACCCCTCTCTCTGTCTCTTCCTCTGTCTGTAACTCTGCCTCTCAAATAAATAAATAAATAAATCTTAAAAAAAGAAAGAAAGAAAGAAAATGGAAGTAAAAGGTATATTTGTTTCAGTGCAAAAAATGTTAAAGTCAATTCAGTTTTTTTTTAACACACATTTTCCATGACCTTTTTGAAGTTCCCTATAAATGCACCATGTTTAAAAAAAAAATGATTTATTTATTTATTTAAAAGAGAGAGAGAGAGGGAAGAAGAGAGGGAGAGAGAGAGAGAGAATCAGCCTGGGCTGAAACCAGGAGCCAAAACCAGGAGCACAGTCTCCCACGTGGGTGCAGGGGCCCAAGCACTTGGGTCAGGTCATATTCTGCTACTTTTCCCAGGCCATTAGTAAGGAAGTGGATTGAAGTGGAGCAGCCAGGACACGAACCAGTGTCCATATGAACACTGGCATCGCAGGCAATGGCTTTACCCACTACACCACAACGCTGGCCCTGAAATGCACCATTTATTCCAAAAGCTCTTTTAGCCACCCTCCCACCAGGAACCTAGAGACTAACTCCAGTCCCCACAGAGCCACCTGAGCCATTTTCAAACACTCACCTTCATCATGAGTGTCAGAAGAGTCGCTGAGCTCGGTGGGGATGTCTTCATTGTCGTTGAAGTCCAGTGACGGGGAGTTCACAGGTGCAATGATCTCCATCTTATCCCCTATGATGTTGTCAATGGCGAGCTCCTTCTCCAGGGACCCGTCGCCCTCCAGCACCTCCTCCTCCAAGGGCAGGCCATCAAACTGCGGTGAAGACAGAGCAGTCACCCACCAGGAGCAAAGTGCTCAGGGCAGTTAGAGCCCTGGCCGTGGAGGGCCTCCCATTCACAGCTCAGCTGCTGGGGAACTGGGCTGGAGCCATGTTCTGGGGGCTCCCCCAGGCCTGCCTGGAAGACGGGTGAACACAGCACAAGCTGGGCTCGCTACTCGAATGCCACACCAAACCAGATGGGGACAGAGCCAGCACTGCCGGCCCTGGGCCCTTCCTGAGCCATATTCATTCTCCCAATAGCCCTGGAAGGATCAATACAATTCTTTACACCTGAACAATAACCTCAGAGGCAGAAAATGAACAGAAAATGAACACTGAAACTGAGAGTCAAATGAATGTTTTCCTTCTAACCCCAGCTGATCTGACCCTTAAACCACTGGAACGCTAAGCTTTCTTTTCTAGAAGTTCCCACTCCTTCCACCTGCCAGCACGCACCCAAGCCTCGTTCATCAAAATTCTTTCTCCTATCAAAATTCCCAAGAACAAAGTTCCTGTTACACTTCGCTATGGTGTCCACAATGTCTAGCACAGCGGGAAACCAAACCACAGTGTGTACACTGGGACTCCATTGATAAATATTAATCAAATGAGTGAACAATGAACAGTTGTACAGTTCTATCTCTACGCATGACTTCAACTTCAGATAAAGACAGTGCAAAAACAAAAATGACCTGCAATAGTTCTCCACGGGAAAGGACTGATCCAGGGCACTCCACCAAGAACAAAACGAACACATGCACTGGGAATGGTTTCCATCTGCTCAGAAGTCAAGTCCAGATAAAACTAGAACCCAGGCTATACCATTAGAATATGAAGAGCCCATCCACTCTACAACACCACCTTAATAAACCAACCACAGCACAACCACCCTCCCCACTGCTGCTCGCCAAGGTGGATCCCTGTGGCATTAACAAAGCTACAAGACACTGGCCCATGGGTGCAAGGACCAAGGGCCGACCGCCCGTACCGAGACGGGGGCTTCGCTGCTCCCTGTGGACGTCAGAGTGCTGTTGGTGATGGACTTCTTGGGCAGCTGAGGACTTGCATCGGGCTTGGTCTCTATGCTGCTTTTGGATGAGCTGTCATTCACTTCATTCTCTTCCACGGGGATCTCTTCACAGTAGCTGAGAGAAGACAACAATGAGCCCATGTTAGCCTCAGCGGCCATGATCATCGACTGCTCCAAGAACCTCAGATCTGCCAGTCCATCCAAAGCTCTGGGCTTTTCTGCTTCTTCGCTGCGTGTGTGTCCCTCCCCTAAGCAAAAATCCACCTCCACTGCTCTCCTCAAACTTCATTCCCATCTCACCTCACCCCTCCCAGCCCCCATGTAACACTTCTGGCTTCCCTAACTACGATAGCTGTTTGTGTTAAGCTATTTTGTTCCATTGGTGCCCGGCCCATCCCAACTACTTGAAACAAATATCTGGGTTCTGAGCATAATTTCATTTCCCACACAACGGCTAAGACAGGACTCTGGGCACCAGTGCTTCCACAGTGCCCAGTATCTAAATCCTAAGTAGTAAACTTCTCTAAACCTAAAAGGAAACCTCCTTGAGAAGAAGGTGATGTCCTTCTAAGGACATTTCAGGGACACCTCTGCAGCCTCCCCAGGCTGAGGAGTCATCACCATTCCAGTCACCACTGGCACCAACATCTGGCCTATGCTCGGTGACTCTGGGTATATAACAGGCATTATAGCAATCACCAAGTGGGCACTCACGGGGTTAGCTGATACCACTATTAAATACTGATGTTTGCACCTGAGCCTAGGTCTAAGTACTACAAGTTCAATGCCTTTTCCCTGCCTTCTGTTTCTCTAAGCCTCTTACACCATAGCCCAGTCTCCAGCTGCCTTCTACACCTCACAAACGCTTTGTGTCAGTAGAGTGTGGCCCCTGTCTTCCTATCAACAGCATGTGACACAGTGGCACTCCCCTCTCCTTAAGTCCTTTTCCTTGGCTTCCAGGATATAAAGTGCCCCCTAGTGTTCCCCCTACTTCCTTGGATATTCTTCCAAGATCTCTTTTGCTGCTGCTTCCTTTTGTCAAGTGCTCTCAGGCCTAGTCCTTGAACTACATTTTATGTTCATTTGGTTAGTGGAGGGTTCAGCCAATCTCAGGGCGATCCATCGATAACTGCAGAGTGTACGGCCCTGGCCCAGACGTCCCCCTGAACTCTACACTCACCCCCCAACACCTGCTTAGGCGCTCCACATGTCAGAGAGCATATCAGACTCAACCTGCCTAAAATCAGCCTCGTGACCTTCCCCCAAATATGTGCTCTGCCCACAATGTTGTCCATCTCTATTTGGAACAACCTCATCTATGCAGAAGATAAAACCAATCCAAAAAATCCCACCTATGGTTCCTTTTTAATTCATCAGCAAATGTATCAAAATAGACTCAGGAACAGATCACTTATCACCGGTTCCGCAGCCACCCTCCTGGTCCAAACCACCATTGCCACTCATTCAAATCATCTAAATTATTTAACAGCCTCTTTGTCTCCCTCTGCTTCCACCCATGCTCCCGCCCGCCTCTTCAACGTATTTTTGCACAGAGGCCAGAGTGATCCTGTTAAAATGTTAAGTCATACCTTATCAATTATCTATTCACAATCTTCCCATCACACTCAGACTAGTCAGTCACTTGGGCCAAAAGGCTCTCAGACCCTGCCCCTTCAACCCTCCTCTGCCAGGAAAGCTCTTCCCGCAGGTACCCCCATGGCTCATTCCCTCACTTCCTTTAGGGCCCAACTTCAATGTCAGTTTCCCAGTAGAGCTTTTGCTGCCACCCCACCCTAGGTTCCCCACACAGCCCACCCCTAGCTCCTCACCCCATCGTGTTGAAGTCATCATCAGGGGGAACGTAGTCCTCATCATCACTGGTCAGGCCCAGCTCATTCCCATAGCACTGGTGAACAAAGTGCCAGAGCTCCTTGGGGCAGAGAGGCTGTGGGGGAAAAGCGGTATAACCTTGATCCTCCTTCCTTCCGGACCCCTTGTTCTGTACATGAGCCAAGCTGGCTCCCGTGGAGGGCAGAAGCCAAACCACCTCTCCCTAGCTGAACGAGAGTGGAGCAGCCACCTCTGTGATCTCAGCAGAACGCCTAGGAGTACAGACTTTCCCAAGGCCAGGAACTCGGCTCTTCCTGGACTAATCCTTCAGCAGAGGTAACCAACTGGTCCCTTGCATGGTAACTGCCCCACCCACGTGTCTACTGATGAGGTCCAGCATGAAGAAGCATAAACTCAGGGGACTCCGAGGCTGGGGTGACCTCGGAACTTCTGATTTGGATGCTGAGCACCTACGGGTCTCCGGACCCTGTCTCCCACCCATGGCAGAAATCTCCTGTGACAGGCCTGAGGTTCTCAGAGCTTCACTCTGGGCAGCGTGGAGCCCATTCACAGAGAGGACAGGCTACTTCCAGGACTCAGGTCAGCACTACTCATGGAAGCATGCGCCACTCTCCCAAGCCTGGTGGACCATGAAAAGACTTGGGCATCTTGGAGCTGGCTAAGTAAAGAGCGAGCTCTCACGGGAAAGCACATTTGCTGGATGTCCCCCCTCCCCGCAGAACATACCTTTTCAAGGAGAGCATTCTGCCAGAGCCGGAACATCATCATGTATGTCCTATCCCGGGCTCCAAACGACGTGAAAAAGTGCTGGATTGCAGGAGAAAACGGAGGAACGTGCGTCAAGATAACACAGGAATGGAGACAGAGGCCTTTCTCCTTTAAGACACCAAATTCATCCTCTAACACCAATGGCTCCATGATATCTGTGATGGGCACAGGCACTTCAGCCACAGACGTCAGACATGGAGAGGGAGGCTCCAGGCACCTGGGACCTCTGCGATCCCCCTGCGATCAAGTCCTTCACTTTTATACCCACACTAGTCTCAGTGCTTTTCTCGCCTGTTTCAAGTTTTCACCTCCAGGGGCAGGTGCTTGTGGCACAGCAGGTTAAGCCACAGCCTGCGATGTTACCATCCCATATCACACCCCACACTGGAGCACTGTTTTGAGTCTGGCTGCTGCACTTCCAATACAGTGCCTGGCTAATGTGCCCGGGAAAGCAGTGGATGATGGTCTAAGCAGCTGGGCCCCTGTCACTCATGTGGGAAACCTGGATGGAGTTCCAGGCTCCTGGCTTCAGCTGCCTGGCCCCAGGTCTGGCTGTCGGGACCATTTGGGGAGTGAACCAGCAGATGCAAGATCTCTCTCTCTCTCTCTTTTTCACTATGCCTTTCAAATAAATAAAATAAATATTAAAAAATAAAAATTTCATCTACATAAAAATGTCTTTCACTCACATACTAGAACTGGGTCAGAGGTGAGCTATGAACTAACTCCCTCCCCCCCAAAAAGGGGAGGGGTGAGACAAATTCCCTGACTTCCTGACCCTTTTCATTCATTTAACAAATATTTAAAAATTAGCATGAGTGCTCTGGCAGTTGTGGCCAACTGGAGAGTGAATCAGTAGATGGGGACCTCTCTCTCTCTGTGTAACTCTGACTTTCAAATAAATACATCTTTTTTTTTTTAAAAAAAAAAGTCAGCATGTGTTGGACACGAGTCTACATGTTTGGGGCACAACAAGGGACAAAACAGGGAAGACCTGCTCCCCCAGTGCTTGCCTATCAGTGGGATCTGTTCTTAATATTCAGGAGACAGGCAACAGACAACCCAATCTTAGTGAACATCAGTAAGTGCTTCCAAATGCTTTTTCATTTGGAAGTATCCAAAAATGCACTGGGCATTGCACAGATGCGCTAACAACTAATAACAGGCTGCTGTAGAATCACAAAGCTGGATGGGACCAGAAACAGGAAGTCAAACCCAGGACTATCTGACCTCAACACACATGGCTTCTGCCGCTGAACTGCCCAGGTCCAAGGAAACTGTAGACGTCTTCAGCAGAAATCTAGTCCACTCAAGCCTTAACTAAATCAGTCTGCAGACTCTGGCTGAAGGTCAAAGACTGTCTGACCTGCCTTAAATTTTATCCACCGTAGTCGCCCCTGTGGATAAGGATAATCTTTTTCCTACTAGACTCTTCCTCCTGACATGTAATCAGCTACATGCTCATCTCAAATGAAGACTACTTCCCTTTGCATAGTGCTTCACAATTAGTGTTTTCAAATATGTAATGGTATTTCAAGACTTATTTCATGTTACACATACAAAAATTCAGGCTCAGCCTCACATGCCTACATCATGGCACCTGATTTCAGGTGTTTTGGCTCCGTGTCAATGTCTGCCACTCCAGCCTCCAGCCACCCTGCCATCCCTGGAGAAGGTTCCTGGAACCCGCATCACCTGTCCCACCTCTCCCTCCCACTCTATTAGCCTCCACATCCACGCTATTTAAGGGCAGAAGTACAGCAGTCAGGGTTGGGGTAGGTAGAGAGGCCTGAACTAGACTCCACTTACCTTTTCTGAATCAGTGCAAACTTGGATGGCATTGGGAATGAGGCGAGCTGTTTTTTCTTTAGTCATGGAGCAGATGTCTTTCAAACGAACTGTCAGCTGGCATCCCCACGGGCACAGGGAAGAACAACAAGCAAGAGGAGGTATCAGTAGACCCAGACAAAGAGTGCTTCACATGACACCAGTGCAGGCAGGGAAGCCAGGTCATAGATGGCACATTTATAGAGCTGGAATGGATGACCCTAGAGATCTGTGGGTTTATCTCCTTATTTCACAGAGGCCACACAGTGAGCCTTGTGGGTAGCTTGGTTCTTGGCCCAGGAACCTTTCTTCCTCATCTGTACACAGTCTGCTAAATGTGCAAAGAAGTCCTTCCATTATTTGTCACAAACACAGATTACTGCCACTGGACAGGACCCTAGAAGTCACTTAGTTAATCATTTTCCCCCATTTACCAAGCGGAATCAGAGGGAAAGACAGAACTAGCCTAAAATCACACAGCTATTTCATTGCAAAACCCAGAGAGAGTGCACACCAGTGCATGAGTCCCAAGGCCAATGCCCTTCTTACTTTACTATGTCTCTTTCTATAGCAACTCCTGTCAAATATTTACCTGCCTTTGCCAAAAGCAAATGTTCTCAGTACTCTCTTCTCCACCCCGAAGGAAGGAGGGGGAGGGAAAGATGTGGTAGAAGACATCTCATTGTTAGGACCCAGAGTAACAAATCCCTCACGACTGGTGCATGGGTTTTTGTTAATTATGCAAAGGCCTGGCAAGAACCCAAAGTCAGTAAGAAGAAAGTGAAGGCAGCTTGCTCAGCCATAACCAAGGGTCCACCCAAGGGAACAAAGCCCCAGGTCTTTACCAGGGTTTCCCAGCGGAAGATGTTGCTGTAGAAGCAAATCCAATTTTCAGAGAGGTAGAGTCGGCCCTGAAGAAGGATGTCTCTTTGGAGTGCACATGAGTAGTCTGCGGCAGGATGGGGACAGGGGAGCACAGAGGCAGGAAGCATTTTTAGCAAACCACTCGGTAGTAGGCATGTCACCACCATCCCCCCACCAGCAATGGGGAAGCCTACAGACGACCAGGCGCATGACAGCATGACCTAGTAGCCAAGGCACTCCCTGGCACCTCATGATCAGGAACATAAAGGTGAAATATGCTACTGCCTAGAGGCAGGGGAACGAATGGGATAGCAGAGGGCCCCCCAGAGCTAGAGGCACAAAAGGCCAACAACATTAAACTAACTTCCCTCCCTCCATCCACCATGACACCAAACCCTTCTGCCCATCTGAGAAGTTAAGGGTCAGTGACTCTGCAGGGTGGGCTCTCAAGGCTACCAGAGATGTGCTGCTCAGCCTTGAGACTGCCAGCTGGAGCCAGGGATCTGGACATCCCCCTCTCCCTGTTCCCAGAAAGACGTGCTTACATGGCCTGGCTACAGCCTCTAGACAGAAGCAGCCTGGGTGCTAGGCCTGGGACCCTTAGAGACTTCTCCCCGGCCCACTCCCAGGTCACCCGGCTCACCAACGATGAGGCGCTCCGTGTCTGGAAGTTGCTTAAAGAGCTTTCTGAAGTCTTCATTTCTCTGCTTGTATGTGGGACTTAATACCTGCAGGACAATGGCCAAGGTTAGCAGGATGGACCCAGGTTCTATGCGGCTAGTGAAGAAGGTGCAGGACCAGCATTTGTTTACATGATAAAAGGACAAGGACCAGGCTGTGTTAACCCACAGACCTAGGAGGCTAGGCCAGAAAAGGAGGCTCAGTGTGGAAAAATAGAGTGGGGAGCTGGCGCTGTGGCATAGTCCTGCAGTGCCGGCATCCCATATAGGCACTGGTTCAAGTCCCAGCTGCTCCACTTCCAATCCAGCTCCCTGCTATGGCCTGGGGAAGCAGTGGAAGATGGCCCCTGCACCCACATGGAGACCTAGAAGAAGCTCCTGGCTCCTGGCTTCAAATCTGCCCAGCTGCAGCCATTGCGGCCATCTAGAAAGTGAATGAACGGAAGGAAGATTCTCTCATTCTCTCTCTCTCTCTCTCTCTCTCTGTGCCTCTGCCTCTCTGTAACTCTGCCTTTCAAATAAATAAATAAATATTAAAAAAAACATTATTCAAATTCTTTTTTTAAAAAAGAGAAAGAAAAATAGAGTGAAGAGAATCTGATATTATACCATGGTCTGTATCCAACATTCCTCAATGAGAAAAGATCAATCGTATGAAGCCGGGGTCCACATTATATCCAAAGAATAAAGAGGCAGGAGGGCCACCTCCAGGGGGCTCCCTGGGACACATTCTGCTGCTGCTGCTCAGCCTTCAGCAAGCTGGCAGCAACACCTCAACAGTGAAGCAGAGGGCCCCGGGGCAGCCCCAGCCACCCAGCAGGACCCATGGTGGGAAGCAGCCCAGTGCATGCCTCAGAAGAAGCTGTCACTGTAACACAGTGGGCATTTGGCTAGATGTGAAAGACAAGATGTTTTAAAAATCACAAAATACTTCTAAAAAGCCCATAAAACATAAACCATATGCTAAGAATAAATGCACAAGAATTTAGAAGCATCTCTGGCTCCCTAGGCATACCTCATGTCCCTCCCCTGCCTCACAAAAAGATCCAATCCCAGCCCTTACTGTACTGATAAGGAAACTAAAGCCAGTCAGTGGCAGATCCCTAACCCAAGGCTCCGTTATCCCACAGGCCCTCGGGGGCCAGGTAGGGGAAGAGGCGTGTTACGGAAAAACATACTGGAGAGCATGCAAAGCATTTTGCATCTCCTGATCCCGAGTCCTGTGCTCACCCCCCGCCGCCACTGTGCCGCCAGATGCCCACTCTGCACGCCCAGCTTGCAGGGCGCCCAGGTGCAGGCTCACACCCGCACACTTCCTCCCTAAATTCTCCTTGGGAACTCCATGAGCTGTTGAACAGACAGAATTCCTGTCCTTTCAGGGTTTACAATCTTGACATTTAAACAATAAAAATATAAGTGTGGGTACTTGGTGCAGTGGTGTAGAGCTGCTCGGGATACGCACATTTCATGTCAGAGTGCATGGGCTCCAATCCCAGCTCTGCTTCTGACTCCAGCTTCCTGCCAGTGTGCACCCCAGGAGGCAGCAGGGGATGGCTCAAGGAGTTGAATCTTTGCCACCCACAGGGGAGACCTGGATTAGTAAGATTCCTAGCTCCTGGTTTCTACCTGGCTAACTACGTAGCTAGCTGTTGTGGGCATGTGTGGAGTCAACCAGTGGATGGAAGACCTCTGTAAGTCGTCTGCCTGTCCATCTCCATCCTTACGCCATTCAAATAAAGCAAAAAGATACGCAATGATAATTTCTCTGATTTGAGAATTGCACACTGTAAACACGTATCAAATTATCACACTGTACCCCACTAATGTGTGCAGATTATTACATGTCACTAAAAATACTTCGACAAAATAAATCATATGAAGATATGTACCCACAGATGAAGGAAGGCACCCACGGAAGATGCATAAAAAAAGTGTGCAACCCAGGAAGAGCCTTGCATGGCAACAGAGACTGTACTCCACCCAACCACATGCTGACCTACTTCTGCAAGACACAGCGCTGCTGACCCTTGGCCAGGGGCACGCCTGAGGACAGACGGTCCAGCTGATGGTAATGCATGTGTCTTGGCCTATTACACTTTCTCCCCTACCTCCCTGGGAGCCCAATGGCATACAGCTTTGGTGATGATGGGGCGGGCCTTCAACCTCTCATCTACCTTTCAGTAGAGCTGAATGGCCCACAAGGAAGCCAAGGCTGTGCTCAGCACACGCTGCCTACCTGAGCTGTGCTCAGCACACGCTGCCTACCTGAGCGGTACCCTGAGCATCTCTGTGCTGGCAGAAGGAAGAGAATTAATTTCAGGAAGTCAGGGGGAGAGGAAACGGCAGGCGTTTAGTTTGAGGAGGTTCCCTGGGAGAGAGAGGGAGAGAAGAACAGAGAGAAGGGTGCTTCCAGCCACTGTGTCTGGAGTTAATAACTGGAATTTCAGCCTTAGTTCTGAGCTTATTTACAGAGGGAGTTCCAACTGCAACAGTAGCTGTCCTGGTGCCTTCCCCAAAGTAATGCTGTCACAGAGGCCCCCCAAATCTCAAAAACCACCTGCCACAGGCTTGAACCAAATGTCAGAGCCGCTGTGAGTGAAGATCAGGAAGCCAGCCCATCCGGTGACTTTGAAGGCAAAAAAAAAAAAAAACCTCAGCATACAACATTCCACTGGTCCATACATTAGTTTCAGACTGGTCCTGGGATAGGCAATCTAGATGGCCCCCTGGCCTCTTGAAACACAGCCCACCTGATCCTGAGTGAACTCCTTATCACTGGCCTTCCAGAGCTGCCAGTCGCTTCCACAGAATGATTAATTACCACGGACCATGCACTGGTTCAAGCGCCATCGTGTGTTATCTCCACCCTGTAGGGTTGCTTTCAGAGTCCTTGTTTCCACTCCAAGAAGCCGAGGCACAGAGAAGCGAAGCAATTTGCCCGCAGTGCCTGGTTACTGAGCAGGAGAGTGCAATGTGAACCCAGGCCATGTGACTCCAAGTGCCGGGACGTTCGCCTGCTTGGGGACTCCCCACTGTCTTTTCCTGTCCCCTAGTGGGTCACTGTGCTCCACCTATCACCATGCACCCTCTCAATGCCAGAGACCCTTGCCCTTTCCCTTCCACCCCCTGCACTCTTCATGAACTCTCCAGAGGTGAGGCATGGCTCCCCGATTTTAATTTAAAATGGCCAAAGGATTCTGGTTCCAAGATGATCAAGTCTGGGGCCCTCGGATAGCAGAGCCGAACGGGGCATGGCAGGGTGCACAGAACCGTGACAGAGACGCGGAGAGAGAGGGTCACACACTCACAGCTGGGATTTCCTCAGATCCGTGCTGGCAACAGTGTTCGGCCCCAGCAGGGACGTCGACAAACCTCCTCAGGGGCCCTCGCGGCGACCGGCTGTCCTGCTGCAGCAGAAGGCTCCACAGGACCCCCAATTCCATCAGAGAGTCCATCGCCCCCCAGGGGAGCCCAGCTCCTGAGCTCTGACTCCTGACTGTCCCACGGGAGGAATGAAAACAACGGGCCTCGCTTGGCCAGGGGTGGCCCTGGCTTCTTGGTGACCCTCACTGAGGTCCTCTCCTCTCCTAGAGCTGTGTTCCCAGCATGAAGCCTCACGAGTGGGAGGGTGTGGTCAGCATGGCTCTCGGGACAAGCTGGCTGGCCGGACTCCCACAGCCGGGCTCTGCTTTGTCCTTCTCGGCTGGTCTTCGGGCTGAGGGTAGCCTGGGGGCAGCAGGGTGGCATGTGGTAGAGCACCCCTTCCTGGTCAGCACAGTCACCCTCAGAGTCCAGCTGAGACAAGAGGACGCAGACACCACAACAGGTGCACAGGGCCAGCTGAGGGCTCCAGGGGGCCAGGCCCCCGGGTAGACAGGCAAACTTTACAGTGGGGGCGGGGGTCTAGCCCCATGGGTTACTCACACGAAGTCTGAGGCTCCAGAGAGGGACCCGAATGCTGAGCTCTGCAGTCCAGGTCTGTCCACTAACTGGCACATTTAATCAATGTGCAATGGGCGGGCACGGGGTCACTATGACTCACAGCCCTCCCCAGGCAGAGGGGCCACCCCTGCCCGCAGCAACAGGGCCTGCTCTCATCCCCACCCCCTACACACACCCCTTTTCTCCTCCAGGACGTGCTCCCTCCAGCTGACCAGCAAACAACTTTCTTTGTTAGAGTCACCCGCGGGCAGGAGGGAGGCAGGCAGGGCGGTGGGCGGGCAGGCCAGAGCCCTACACATGCTTCAAGTTACAGGATCTGGGTGATGGTCCTGGCCAACGTCCTCCAGTAACCCCCAGCCTAGCCTGGCCTCCCCAGCAGATGTTTCCTGCAATGGAAAGTTGCTGGCCACGGCTCCTGGTGGGGGAAGGGACGGGGAGGTGCCAAGGGCGCTGCTGTTATGAGGAAATCTGAAATCTGAGACTCCAACAGCCAAGGACTTCTCAGAGACACCCTCTCTCCTCCCTGACCCCATCCACCAAGTTCTCTGTAGCAGCAGCAGCCAACCTGGGAGTTTAACTGATCCAGTCTCAGGATGGGCAGAGAAACGCTGGGGAGGTCGTCCGCAGAAGCTGTGGTCCACAGCTTCAGGGACTGTCTGCGGCACCTCCTTCCTTTCCAGGGACCCCGCCCCATGTTCAGCAGTAGCAGGACAGGGATCAAGGCCAACTGGATTCCCAGACAGCTGCTCAGACCTCAAAGGCAGTACAGGGGGGCTAAGAGCAGGCCATGTGGCCCCCGTCAGAAGGCAGCTGCCAAATTCAGAGAGCACAGCGGGAGCCAGGCCAGCAGGGGCCACAGAGGCTGCAGACAGAGCAGCCCAGCAAGGGGAGGAGACAAGGTGGGGCTGCAAGATTGGACTGCCAGGAAAAGTCAGACCTCTGGGAAACAGGGCAGCGCCCCTGGCCAGCTGGGCCACCTTGCCAGGAGGGTCTCGGGGTACAGGGAGTCTCAGGGATCCCATTCAGCAGCACTCATTTTTTACCTAAATGTGACCCAGTAAAGGCATTACGAAATGTCCATTCCCAGGGGCCCTACCCGACCATGCTAATTCAGACCAGCCTGGGTTCTCCCACAGAAAAAGTAAAGGAAGAGTCTGACTTCTCTGCCAGTCCTCTCCTAACAACCCTCTCACCCCCTCTCTTGACAGACATTCCCCCGATGCAGCTCCTACCTCCACCTATCATGCAAGTAACTGATGCCACTGGACCACCATCTGCCCTACAAAGGAGCTATGCTTCAAACGGTCCTCTCTCCCATAGCACAGAGGAGGATGTGTTTCCAGGGTCAAACACACCCGTTCCTTACCCATCTCTCCAACTGTCTCCCCAGTGGACACTTTGCCTGCACACAGCTGCAGATCCCCCACCCTCACAGGAGCCCACAAGTCCCCAGCACACAGCAGCCCTATCCCCAGCAATGGACAGGCCACCACAGTGGCCCCATTTTCCAGGGTGACCAGAATGCCGTGTACACCCCAAGATGCAGGCAGCAGACAGACCCGGGAGGTTCTGGGTTCTTCCTGTGGCTCCCGGAAACATCTGGGGTCATGATGCGGGTCACACCAGGGGAGGGCTGTGGGTGAAACACACCCGCCAAGATAACACCAGGGAGATGCGTCTCAGTGTGTGCCAGCCTTGGTCTCTTCCTCCCCCACACCAAGGGCTGGGCAGGGCGGGGCAAGAGCCTGAGCCTCGGGAATTGGCCCTGGGCTAAACATTAACTCTACCGCAAACACAGGGAGCTGGGACCAAGTGGTACCCCCTTCCCGGACACAGCGGGAGGGAGCAGGTGGAGGAGCCCAGGAGAAAAACAGATGGATTTTGTTGGAGCACTAACCCCACCTAGGAAGAAACCAATAAAGATCTGCAAATCCGCCAGCCAAATCTGGGTAGGCCCAAGAGAGATGTGGGGCAAGGGGTAGGGGAAATGGGGGAAGTGATGAAAAGAGAGGGGGTGTACATGGTGCAGAACAGGAGGGAACAGGGCAGAGCTGGGTGTGGGCTAACATCTGGAGAGGTGGGTCCACTCTGGAGATGGTGAGGGGTGTAGGCGGGGGAGGGGCACTGGGAGGACTCCAGCAGGTGGAGGGAAGCAGAGGAAGCACAGCCCATGCCTGGGGGAGCCCTCAGCAGCAGCCCCACCCCCACCCCCACGCAGCTCTCCCACTTTCTGGACTGCCCTCCCACACCTGAGAGCTCTTCGGCTCTCAAACTGGTGCTAGACTTGCTGGGCCTTCCCACAGGATTAGCTCGGGTCCTTGCTCCCCTCCCTAAAGCCAGCATCCCCTCGTGGAGGGACAGCAGGCAGCTTGGGGTTGAAGTCTCCAACAGCTGCCTGGGTCTGGGCTCCTTCCCCAGGCTGCCCCAGGCTGCCCTGGGCATGGTTTACCCGCAGGAATGAGAGAGAAGACAGAACGGGGTCCATGTGCCCACCTGACTCATCACAGAAACAAGGCAAGACACACACAAACAAGGTGAGACGCACGCCCACCATGGGAGCAGGGGTGGACTGCACCCCTCCCGCCCCTCAGGTGGACCAGGGCTGCATCTTCAGAGCCAGAGACCCCAATGACTGACACTGGGGGGAGGGGGAGGCCAAGAAGAGAGGCTACAAGCAGGCGTGGCGAGGCCAATAACCCCCAGTGGACTTTTCCACGTGGTCTTGGGGTCCCACCTCTCCTCCATGTGACCCACTTTTTTAGACTGAGTGGTTTATCATCCTGGTGACAGCTCCTCTCCAGCTAACCACGGAAAAGTAAGATGTTTTTGTCTTCAAAAAGGTGGTACAGGGGCAGAGGCAGGTGGTGGGTGGACTTCCGCTTACATCAGAGCCAGGCAAAGCAACAGACCCTTGCCGTTCCGAGTCCAGCCGGGGAGTTTCTAACCATCCCCAGGCTGGGGACTAGAAAACTTTACCTGTCCCTACCCAGAGGTCTCGTGGTGCCATGGTGGCACCTCGGGCATCAGAACAGCTGGAGAGCTGAGCTAGCACGAGGGAGCATGAGAACGGGGCTGTCCCCCGAGCTGAGAAGAGGACGCAGGGGCCTCCAGGAAGGGCAACTCAGGCCCAAGGGAGGCGACTGAGCAGGCTCAGGGAAAACAGAAAACCAGGTCACAACAGGAGGGGCAGGACAAGGGCCTCCTGGGAAAACCCAAGTGTACCCCCAGGGGGAATCTAGGGGTGCAGGGGGTGTGCAACGTTAGTTTCCTGATGAGGCATCTGAGTACAAGAGCACAGTATCTGTGCAGCAGCCCGAGGAGGGAGCCCAGCCACCCCAGGGTCAGGCACTGGGCCGGCGACGGTGCCCTACTGCTTACGACTCAGGGGCCTCTTGAGCAAACACCCAGGTGGCAGCTTCCTGCTCCCGCCAGGGCAGCGGCGCCCAGGAACACAGCCCCGGGCAGGCCAGCCTCCACGCGGAGGTGCACTGGCACCATCTCGTTTCCTCCATGGATACCCAGAAGTGGAAAAGCTCTGAGCCAGGTATCTGTCTCAGCCTCAGGAAAAAGGCAGGGGCTCCTCTCCCCAGCAGCCCACAGCCTGGCGCTGCAACAGACTGGCCTCTGCTGCTGACCCTGTGCACGGCTGCCCGGCATTCAGGGAACACACGAAGGAAACAAGGCTGTCAATCAACTCCAGGGTGTGAACCAGGCGGGCCTCCACCGTGCACAGGACACATGGCAGGAGGTGCTCAGAGAGAGACTTCAGCCAGCTCCTGGCCAGGGGAAATCTTCAAAGTCCCACCACAGTCTAGTCTACGTGGCTTGAGACAATGACAAGGTCTCTGCAGAAGCTGCGGACTCTACCAGACAGTTCTGGGTATGGAGCAGCCAGACCAGGTGCCTCCTGCGTGTCCTGTGCACTGGCCTGGCAGTACCTAGGACAGTGGATGTTTTCTAGAAGGAACATGCCATGAAGCTCCTGGGAAGGGGGGTGCCTTGGGACAGAAAATTCCTCCGCATTGGCCATCTGCTCTAATCAGGCCAAGTCTTCTGACTGTTTCCCGCCATGGCCTTAGTCAGCTGAACCCCCAGGCTGCCCCAACTCCAGGATTCTGTCAGGTCTTGGACTTCGTACTCCGCCCCTCTCCTTCCCCAGCTAGCCTCCTGTACGAAGGGTAGAACCTTGTCCAGGCATCTCCGTGAGGCAGGGGTGCAGTGGGCCATCCCTCCTGATCTCCCAAAATCAAACCCCTCCCACGCTGCTACAGAGGACAAGCACTGCCACTGGTTTGGAAAGGAGCAGTTGGTAAGGAGGGAAAATCCCTGGGGAACCAAACTGCCTTCCACACCACCCCCTCCAGTCCTCCCCTCCCCATTCTCCCACCCACTTCTCATGCACCCCAAAGAAGAGAAACAGCAGTACTTACATTATACCAACTCTGGCTTTTCTGAAAGGACAAAACAAAAGAGAAGGCAAAATTAGTCAGGGAAGAGAAGTCGGGAATGGCCAAGGACGCCTGGCTCCAGAGGAGGGGACACAGACAGCAGAGGGTGGGCGGCGGGGAGGAGCCCCAGGGCACTGCACGCTTCCCATGTCGCTGCTCACGGCGGGGACCTCCTTTCTCAAGACAGCCCAGAAAGGAGGCCCAGGGAGCAGTCCATGCTGGAAGCCCTCTGTGGTCAGGGCGGTCGGGGAGGCAGGCAGCGGCAGCACCAGCCAGAGCTCAACCAGGAGGGAGTCGGAGCCCCATCACAAAGGTCTTCTGATGGAGTGAGGGATGCGCCGTGGACATCCAAGACCCAGTCCCGCAGTGGGCCCTGACCAGAAGCCAAGGACGAGTGGAGGCCAGTCCAGCTGCTTTTTCTCCAAGTCAGCCCCTCTGGACAAAGCAGGGTTGGGACACTTAGAAGGCAGTGCCTGAAAACTGCACCGCCGCTGTCAGCTAACGGATGAGTCGGTTCCTGCCTCCCTCCCAACAACTGGCTGGCTGACTGAGCAGTCACGGTGGGGGTGAGGCTGGGAGGTCTGCTGTGGGAGGCAGGGTGAAGCCCCCCTCCAACCCATGGTGTCTTCAATCGGCAGCAGCAAAGCCAGACCCACTCGCAGTCTGAGAATTCAGGTGCTTTCCACTTGCCAGAAAAATGGGATCTGAATGTTTGCTACAGAAAGAGAAGTGGTGGCTATGGCTGTGCCTTGTCGGCTGCAATCCTCCCGGCCATCCCAGGTGGACGGCACTTGGAATGAGGCTGGGGCTGGGGTGTTTTCCAAGTGAAGACGTTTGCTAAGGGAGTGGGGAACTCGGACAGTCATTGCATAGAGGAGAGCTCCACCTACAGGTCAGCGCCTTAACTGTATACACAGGGGTGCAGGTCCTGCCCCCAGCAGGACCCTTCATGGCCTCCCTCCAGCTGACGGGAAGGGGCGCTGATGCTGAGAGCAGAAGAGCATGTCTGCGGGAGCTGTGTCTCGTGGGGAGGAGGTGTGCACCTGCTGGAGGGTGGGTGACTGTGACCACACTGATGACCAGAGGTCAGGGCGACTAGCTCGCTCCCCAGGCTCCTCCATGCCACTCTTGCTCTGAAGACAGAGGGGAGCCAGACTTACACGGGTGCTGCCTCTGAGGGATTTCACCCTCAGGCCGGGAGGAGCAGGGTGGCCAGAGGGCAGGGCAAGTGTGTCAGGCCCCTGGGGAGTGAATTCTCCGGGGTCATTTTCCAACAAGGGCTCTAGCTGAGGCCTCGTCGGAAGTCTCAGCTCCCACCACAGCCTCAACCCCTCTTCCAACTCAGAGGCCTTAGCGGGCAAAGAGTACTCAAAACTAACACAGTCATCACAGAGAGAGGCGTGGTTGCGTGAGAATCCTGGACATCTGAGCACTGCCGCTAAGGCCACCCACCTCTGGAAGGGGCTGCATGGGGCAAGCGGGCTGCCTCTGACTTGGTCTGCATTTTGGGTCCTGTTGCTTGTGACATGAGGTCATGTGAGGCTGTGATGATGAGCGTGAAAATGCACTTCCCAGTAAGAGGCAGGTGCACTCTAGGAGCTGCAAGCCTCATCGGCCACACAGACTCCTTGGGCTTCATCAAACCCAAGCAGGGTCTTCAGACTCCAGCACCCCAGCCCAATCACACCGGCTCCTCGTCTCACTCTCCAGGCCTTCGTGGAAGACCCTAGGAGAATTCAGGATGGCGGGCTGTGGGCTCCCTGCCACGTGGTGCTGCCTGCCTCCTGCCCCAGGCAGACACAGGGGCCAGGTTTCCCTTTCTACGTCTGACACATACATGCCGATGCCCTCCGACTCTTCCCGGAACACCGGGCTTCCACCAGAGAAGCCGTGTCCTTTCTCTCCCAGCTCTGCGACAGCTTCCCACCCGCCTCCGATGTGCCCTTCTGCAGAGGGGTGGATAAGAACATGTATTCTCAAGTACTGGGAAGAGGCGTGAAGTAGACCAGCAAAAGTAAGGGCTTTAGAAGCTTTGGCCCTACCAGCTAGCTCTAGCAGTTTCTTCTCTGCCCACCCGGGAGGGTGCCCCTGGGGCTCCCACTCGTCCAGCCCGTTCCCTCGCAGCCCCACAGACTCTGGCCAGCCTCTTAGAGGTGACTTCGGTCTCCTGGTGACTCTGCGTTCCTGAGCCTGGATCCTGAAGGAGCAGCCTGGCTAGGGGACCCGGTCTCATGGTGAACCAGAAAGATCAAGCAGCACCCTGGCAGGAGTGACGCTGTCTGCCCTTACAAGTTCACGGAACGCTCCTCGCCAGAGAATGGAGCCAGGGAAGCAAGCGCAGAACTAGGGGGCTGAGCAGAGGGGTCATCTGACAGCTTCAGACAGGTCCAGCTAGAGAAGAAGAGGGAGTCAGGACAAAGACGGAGGTGCGGGGACAGAGGACCGAGCAGAGTTCATTCCTAGCTTCTACTGCCTCTCCTAGAAGAGCAAGCACCTGAAGGGACACAGGCCCCTGGAAACAGACTCAAGCCCCCAGGCCCAAAACACCTCCCCGAGCAAAAGCTCAGGGAGACTGGGAGACGGGGCTGCGGGCAGGGAGAGGCAGGCTACAGCAGCTCTACGCTCAACAGGGGGACAAAACTCAATGTCTTACTTTGATCAGCTTAAGTCTGTCATACTGGAAAGAAAACCATGAATTAGAATCGGCAAGAAGGGAAAAAGTCAAAGGTGCACACATAGGAGGGAGGCAGGGCTGAAGCGCAGGAGCATCCGCCGCTTCCACCAGGCACAGCCCTCGGTAGGGCAAGTCCTTGACAGGAGCTGGTGAAGGCAGGAACGTGACCCCAGGCTCCCTCTAGTGGCCACTGCAGGCCATCACTACAGAGCAGACGCTGCATGGTGGCACAAACCAAGGGGCCCAGGGAGTGGAAGTCAACCTTGTCCCCTTCTAGCTCTCTGCTCTGGGCAGGGCTGCACTTGGCAAGTGTCATCCTCAGCAGCTCACAGATCCAGAGGAGGCAGCAAAAGAGGACAAGGAGGCCCTGAGCAAGGACAAGGCGTGGTGCATGCATTAGGCCTGACTCCACTGAGGTAGGGGAGGCACCGTTCAGCTCTCCCTGGGAAACCCCAGAGGTCACCTCTCCTAGGAGGTGGACAGGAGGCAGAGAGTAGGGTGGCCTGGCTACACTTATCGAGCCAACAGCTCTGGCTCTCAGCTCCCTTGCCAGGGATACATCTGGCCACCTGAGAAGACGCTGCAGGAGGAATGGATCCCACCTTGCTGCCCCTTCTGTCTGTGGCATCCCCTTGCAGCCTGCTCCAGGCTCTGTGTTGGTTCTCTGCTTCCCCTTCTGGGGGCACTCTGTCCTGCACACGCGTGACCCCGCCCTGCATGTCAGCCTTATTTTTGCTGCCTATCAAGGATGGGAATGACTGGTGGGAGAATGGGGTGAGGCACCTGAAGCCAGGGAACCCAGAGAGTGTGCCCAGTGGGGACAGGCACCTCCTGAATCCAGTGGCTTCGAAGAGAAAGAAAACCCAGACCCACTCAGTCACCTCCCTGCCCAACTCCCCATGGAGGGGGCTGCGATGGGTGCTCAGGTCACACTCAGCTCCCCACCCCTTTGTCAGGCCTCTCTAGCGCCCCATTCAGAATGCCACCTGCTCCTTGACATGCGTCCTGAGCTACCCCCAAGGACAAATGATGGCTCCTGCTTCTGGAGTCACACAATATCCTGAACCACTCATGTGACTTGTCAGGTTTGGTCTGCAGATAATCTATGGGGCAGAGGACGTTATTTATGTTCCCAGACTGCTCCACGGGTAGTGGCCTGGCTTCCCAAAACAGGCTCACCACGCAGGGTTCTACAAGCAGTCCTCATTCCGTGCACCACACCTACCGCATCCCCTACCTCACCGCGCATGTACTCTGTACGTGCTGACTGATAGCTAGTGCTCTCCTCACTGAGTACCACGAGGGGAAGGAAGTTTAGAACTTCACCTTCTGATGGAAAAGAGCTCTGGGCAGAAACAGCGAGAAGCCACAGCCTGGGGACCTCTCCCAGCGCCCATACCAATTGGCCCACAGGTGTGAGGGCTCGGGAGGGCCAGGCTCTGGGCACATCAGACATGCCTGCACCTGCCAGGCCACCTGAACCTCAGAGACCTCCTGCTGGCTTCCGCGCACCAGGCGGTTTCCTCCTTCCCTGTCCAGCACGGGCTCTCCAGCTATATTTAAAATCCTCAGCACCATGATGTGCATTTATTCTGAAGGTCACAGCCTGCGGGATTGGCCGTGTAGCTTCTTGTTCTTCCCTTAGGAAAGAGAACAGCTGCTCACCCTCCTCCTCCCCAAGGCACTGACAGAGCCTTGGGATTGTTATTAAGTCATCCTCAGCTTTCTTTTTTTTCTCCTTCCCTTTGGGTCTGATTTTCTGAGCCCCCAGCTCTAAATATCTCTTGTGCACCATCTCTATGCACTCTAAGCTCCCATCAGGTCCTGGAGATCCGGGGGTCCTGGGCAGACTCTGGCACCGCTCCCTGACCTGGTCTCATCCCCCCAGGGGCTGGGGTGGGTGATGCCATCAACATTCACCAACCTCTAGGGGCTGGCATCAAGCCTCCCGGAAGATAAGTCCGCTATTCAGGATCCAGAATCCTGAGAATAGCAGAGTCTCCAGGCTCGGGGCAGGGGTGGCAGCACTGAGGGGGGACCCGCTCTGCACAGCCGCTGGGGAGGAGGTGGGTCAGAGGGAAGGAGCTGCTGAGGTCACTGCCACTGCACCAGGGAACTCCTCCACTTGATTTCCTGACCCTCCATCAGTGCATCCATCCGCCAGGGAACAGAGTCACCCAGCACAGGGGTGTGAGGTCTTCAGTCCCCCGAAGCAATGAAACCAACTCGGCTTCCAGACGGCACCGTGTGTAGGAGGAAATCGGTCCCTACAGAGGCGGTGTGTGGGGAGCAGCCAGAGACACGGCAGCGGGGCACGGGGACGGGGTCTGTTCTGCGGCCTGGGGTGCAGTAGCCGTGGGCCCTGAGTGACTTCCAAGCCAGCCTGCCAGGGGGACGTTGGGGCCGGGCCCTTCTGGGAGAGGGACCAAGCAGGACAAATGGGCAGAACGGGCAGGGGCAGAGGGCGGGGTGCTGAGCACTGCAGACAATTCCACATGAGAGGGGAGATTAAAAGACAGAGACAAAAGATGGCTTACTTTTGAGAGGCGCTTGTGAGACTAAGACCATGCATGCAGAGAAGGTGTTTGGGAAACGGTGGGGAAGAAGAGGAAGAACAAGAAGTCAAAAGACAAGTTCAGGTGGGAAACCAGCTCCCGTGCCTCCCAGGGGTCCCCCTGAGTACATTCTGGGCAGAGACATCCCCTGCTTCCCAAAGCACTGAGGGGGTAGAGGCAAATCTCGGGGCAGGGAGAGGGGTGGCATCACCAGCCCAGGGGTTTTTAAGTGTCTGTCCTTGGGTCAAGCACCATGGCAGGTGGCAGTGCCAACACACTCGGGAGGGGAGGAACGGCCCTGTCACTGTCCCCACTGCCAGGGGAGTGCCAAGTGGGTTAGTGCAAAGGGAAGACAGCAGGACGGCCAGAGAGGAGGTTAGAAATAGCATTCTGGAAGGTTCCCTGAGGCCTCGCTTCCTGGTACTATAGTTGTTGTCCCAAGCTACCTTCCCATCCACCTGAGTTCTAGGGACCAAATCTGAACACACAGCCAAGATAAAACATAGGACCCCCTCCTGAGCCTCACAGCTCCCCTCCCCCAAATCTGACGGAACCTGAGGCTCTCATGGTCCTACAGTGGCAGCCACAGAATCGCTGGGGTCTCTATGGCTTGTCCCACCCTGGCCTCATGGGATAAAGACCATCTCGGGCACACCGGGGCCATTCGGTCGTGTGAGCTGCTCTGGCCCCCTCCGTCCGCCCCCAGTACCAGCTTCTCTGTGCTCAGCTAAGGAGGAGAGACAGGGTCTTGGAGGGTCGAGGGCCCGGCTCACCTTGGAATTCTTGCCACCGCTGCGGCCCGACTGTGAGGAGCAGCTACGCTGCACACCCTGCTCCGGGGTGGACGGGGACTTGTCCGAGGAGTGATCCGAGCCTTTCTCCACCATGGTGTCTCCGTCCTGGTTCTGTGGGGTTGGCGAGCGAGACCGCTTCCGGAGGATGGGGGAGCAGGCCGGCGTGCTGCGGTTCGAGTTACTGGCAGTGCTGCAGGGGCAGATGGAGAGAGGGAGTGGGGTGGGAAGGGGAGGAGGAAAGGCAGGCAGTCAGTGATTGGAGGCCAAAGACCGGTGCACAGGAGCCAGCTCGGGGAGCTAGGGTGAGGGGCTGGGGACACACAGGGAGCAAGGGGCCCAGCTATGGACATACTGCACCGTCATACTGCAGCTGGCCAGGAGAGGGCAGTAGTGGTGCCAGTGTGAGAAGAAACAGGAATAGGGACTGGGCACATAGGGCAGCTACACATTTAAATTTCCATCCATTTGTCCAACCATCTGACTAATGTTTGAGCATCTATTATATGCAAAGAACTGTCTATGGCAAACAGTTTGTGACCTAAGAGCCTCACTGGAGAGCCCCTAACGCTATCGGCTCATTTTATACAAGCGTAAAACCAAAGCCTTTGCCATTTATTTAGTCTGGGTATTTTTGCTCATAAAAATAACAGTAATAATCCTACTTTTGAATGCATCCACATACATATTATTCCATTGGGTTCTTAAAACACATTCCACCTACATACTGATGGCATAATGTATTTTTAAAAAAAAGAAAGAAAGCAAAACATAGCCATAGTGCTGCATGTGGCCGACAGCAGCAGCTAGGTGTCAGTTACCCACATTGGGTCTCTGGCTGTAACTCACCCACCCCCTATTATTGCCTGGTAAGCCACCCGGGGTCCCGCTTTCTCTGCCAGGGGGAAAGATGAATGGGGCAGAAATCCTCACACTCCCTATCTCCCTACCCCAAAATTCATTTCCCACAAAAGCCTTATGAGGGTGCTTTAGAAAGTTCCTGGGAAAAGTTTTTTTGGTGCCCCCCAAAACTTGAAATCCATGCATACTTTCTTCATAACTATATATTTCCAAGAATTTTTGACAATTTCTTATACACATGATTTTATTTATTTATTTGACACCAAAATAAACTTATCTTTTGGGGTGGGTGTTGTGGAGCAGCAGGTCAGGACATGGCCGGAGATGCCTGCACCCCGTATTGGAGTGCTGGTTTGATTCCCAGCTCCTCTGCTGGCAACCAGCTTCCTACTAATGGATTCTGAGAAGCAGCAGGTGACAGAGCAAACACTTGGGCCCTGCCACCCACATAGAAGATCTGGGTGGCATTCCAACAGCCTGACCCTGCCTATTGGCTATTGTGGGCATTTGGGCAACAAAGCAGATAGAAGCAGATAGAAGCGCTCTCTCTCGATCTCTCTCTCTCTCTCTCCCCTCACCTTTCTCTCTCTTGTTCTGCCTTTCAAGTAGATGAAAATAAACATTTAAAAAGCTAAAACATATTTATCCTCTAATTCAATTTTTCCAAAACTTTCTAAAGTGCCCCTGTATGCAAGGCCTAATCTACTCACACCCAGGCTTATGAGCTGCAAAGTTTACTACTTGGTATTGAGCTTGTGTTTTCAATGGAGTCGGAGATGAGGGAAAGAAGAGAACAGTTAAATCATGGTGGGAGTTCACTTTGTTTCCAGAGGGTGGAGGAAGGAAAGAGATGCGGAGCAGGCTAGGTTAAGCAGAAAGAGGCAAGGGAAGTGGACAGGAGAGACCTAGCAGACTCAGGGGGGAAGGGGAGTGGAGTATGCAGAGTGAGCATCCCGCAGGCCTCAGGAACTGGAAGGCCTCCCCAACTGTTCATCCCACCTCCCTTCAGGGAGGGGAGTGCAGGGTGGGGATGCAGTCATTTAGGTGAAGGTCAGGCAGTGATCGAAGCTGTCCCCAGAGACCCATTTGCAATGTAAATCATGCCCCATTCAGCAAAACCTTCTACAGGCTCACCCTCAGCAGAAAGAAAGGATACAGCACCCAAGAGCCCAAACCATGAGTGTGAGCAGGACAGGCTGGCGGGCACAGCTGAAGCACTTGGGAGGAAACTGACGAAGGAAAAAGAAAAGGAAGATGGAATGTATAGAGAAAAGCAAGGCCCAAGGGTTCACTTCCGCCTAAAACTGCAGCAGGTTAAGCCGTGGCCTGTGACACAGCTCCACTTCCGATCCAGCTCCCTGCTGGCTCCCTGCTGATGACGTGCCTGGGAAAGCAGCAGAGATGGCCTAAGTCTTTGGGTCCCTGAGCCTACGGGAGACCCAGATGGAGCTCTCTAGTCTCCTGGCTTCCACCTGGCCCAGCTTTCGCCATTATGACTATTAGGAGAGAACCAGTGGTTGAAAGATTCTCTCCCTGTCTCTCTCTCCCTCTTTGTAACTGCCTTTCAAACAAACAAATCATTTAAAAAAAAAAAAGTTCAGGCCGGCGCCTTGGCTCCCTAGGCTAATCCTCTGCCTTGCGGCGCCGGCACACCGGGTTCTAGCCCTGGTCGGGGCACCGGATTCTGTCCCAGTTGCCCCTCTTCCAGGTCAGCTCTCTGCTGTGGCCAGGGAGTGCAGTGGAGGATGGCCCAAGTCCTTGGGCCCTGCACCCCATGGGAGACCAGGATAAGTACCTGGCTCCTGCCATCGGATCAGCGCGGTGCGCCGGCTGCAGCGCACGGGCCGCGGCGGCCATTGGAGGGTGAACCAACGACAAAAGGAAGACCTTTCTCTCTGTCTCTCTCTCTCACTGTCCACTCTGCCTGTCAAAAAAAAAAAAAAAAGTTCCCCCTGAAAAAAAAATCTCAGTTATAAATCTCACAATAACTGATCCCAGGAAGCCCAAGATGTCACTGCCAAGAAATGCTCTGCCAATTGGTTCTCTCACCAACTCCACCACATCATCCCATCATAGCCACAAACCCCCGAGAAAGGAAGCCACTCCTTGGTGAGGCAGGAGACAGGCAAGGGTTAATCGGAGAAGCAAAAAGAAAAAAATAGAAGATGCCTGAGTTAAAAAAGTTAAAAAAAAAATCTGCCTCCTTTTTCCGGCTGTTTGAGAAGCTGCTTACTTAATGGCCCAAACATGTGCCTCCAAGAGTTAGAAAAGTAGTTAACAATTACCTGTTTTCCTACCTGTGCAAGAATTTACAGAGGCTGTTTACATAGGCTAATCTAGGGAAGTCCCTGTTTGTACAGACATCTCAAGGACTGCCACCAAGATTGCTTATCTGAGACAAAATTCCTTAAGAAATTACTAACTTAGGTTAGATCTTGGGGAAACACCTGTTTAAACAAAGAATCAACCCCTCACAAAGGGCAAAACAGGAAAGATCCAACAGTAAGTCACCCAAATGAGATTATGAGACAGTAACTCAGTTCCTCTGCAGTACTTCATCAGGAAAAACCCAGCTCCTACAGGAGTTTCTGGGGCAGCCTCCCTCTGCCCCTCACCTGTATAAAGCCGCACCTCCCTGAGTTGTCACTGTCATACTCTGTCCACTTCTACATTCTCAGAAGCGCATTTTATTTACTTATTAGAAAGGCAGTTACAAAGGAGAGGGAGAGACGGAAACAGAGAGTGAGATCTTCCATCTGCTGGTTCACTCCCCAGATGGCTGCAATGGCCAGAGTCTGGGCCAGGGCAAAGCCAAGAAATTAGGAGCTTCCTATGAGTCTCACATGGGTGGCAGGGGTCCAAACACTTGGGCCACTGCTTTCTCAGGCACATTAGCGGGGTGCCAGATTGGAAGGAGAGCAGCTGGGACACGAACCGGCACCCATGTGAGATGTGGCATCGCAAGTATCAGCTTTACCCACCATGCCATTTTGCCATGATGACAGCAGCCCCATTTTGCTGCCTGTTCTTAATGTTTGCATGAGTCTCTTCCATTTCTTTGCCAGGGACTCCAAGAACCCTATAGTTTCTGTCAACACTGGGACTGGTGACACGCAGCACCCTAGTGTCCACCCTCTGGGGAAGCCTCCAGAGGCCCCTGGGGAACGGGCTTTGTGCCTGCCTTTCTGGGGGAGGGAGGAGCCCCTTTCCTCACTGACAGTTCCAGCTCATAGCTAAATATTCCAAGGCGTAAAGTGTCTTCTGGGACAAACAGCCGGGAACTCTGTCCCAGCCCCAGCTAATGTGCTCAAAAAAGAACTGCGAGAGGAGATGACCTAGGCACATGACCCACCTCAGACACACACGGTGAACCCACAGCCCACCCAGTCTGCTCCTTAGCAAAGGGCCACCCTCACGGGTGGGAATTCCAGATCCTGGAATGGGAAGGAGATCCCTGATCCTTCTGCAAACCCTGCATCCATGCTGAGGGCTGGCTGTGAAAGGGATTCAAGCAAAAGTCAACACAGTGGACAAAACATCCCAACCTGGAGGAAACTGACTCCAACTACCCAAAACCATGGGAAGCTGACTCTCTATGGTCAGCATATCCACAGGACTTCCTCATTGCCCCACCAACAGACCCTACCTGTGCTGCTCAAGGACCTATGTCCCTAAAATCCAGCCTTCAACACAAACAACACATGCCGTCTCCTTGTGCCCTTCAGGTATCGGCCACTACATTATTCCTGAAAATCCCCCCTCGCCTCTCTGATGATACCCATGTCTCTTTCTTCCACTCCTCTTCCTCTTCCTGTCTCCATCACTGGTTCCTCCCTTGCTATACCGTCTAAAATCCAGTCCTTCACCTCCCTGCCCATCTCCTGCTGGTTTCAACTTCAACGCTCTGGGCAGAAGCTCTATCTGCTTTTGCTCCTGGGCCCACCCATCTGCTGCAGGCTGATGGGTCCTCCTGATGGTGTCTCATGAATGATTTCAAATCAGCGCTGGCCATCTCTCCTCCCAGCCTCCGCCCACTACTGCCCGTTACCAGCAGCACCATCATTTCCTGGTCTCTCAGGCTGCAAACACATCTCTTCCGGCTCACTCCACACGGAAATGAGTCACTCAGTACCATCAATCCCACTTCCATAGAGTCCCACTCCATCATTCCTGGCCTCCTCAGGGCCCTAGTTCAGCTTCTCAGGTCTCCTGCCTGGATTTTTCCAATGCATTTTCCTATGGTTCGAAGTTCCCTAAAAAACTCATGCTGAGATTTAGTGGCCATGGTACAGTGTTAAAACGTGTGACCTTTAGGCCGGCGCCGCGGCTCAC